TCGTCTGTTTGTAATTGCGGAAATTTCATCTCAAAGTTAGTCACTGGTAAAGATATGATAATTTGCGGCTAAAGTCGTGGAGATTGTTGAGTTTTATTGAAATCCCTATTGTACTAACTTACTTACTCCTGTTACCACCAATGGAGCATAGGCCGCCGACCAGTATTCTCCAGTCTACTCTGCCCTAGGGTTCTCTATCCAGTTCTGTCCAATGTTTGTTCATTCTTCTCATGGCTTTCTCCAATTTTCGACTTAATTCGTTCTTTAGTCTTCTTCTTCTCCTTTGACCTCCAGGGTTCCAATTGAGGGCTTGTCTTGTGACGCAGTTGAGTGCTTTCTTCAATGTGTGTCCTATCCACTTCCAGCGTTTCTTCCTGATTTCCTCTAGTGCTGGAATCTAGTTTTTTATTCTCTCTCACAGTAGATTGTTTGGCCAACGCATCCCTTTCTTGAACTGACTATAGTTAGACCTCAACACCAGTGGTACATAGCTTTATACTTTGAACGCTAAACGTTTGGGCACAAGACCAAAACCCTTGATTTCGATTACCTCTTGCGGGCGGAGTTATGAATGTACACTGCTAAGGAGTCCCATACTATGATGAAATGGCCATCTAGGGCTTCTGTGTTTTTCAATGGTTATCTATATTTGATTGTTTCATGATATACATGAAATTCAATAATATCCACAACTCAATAAGGACAACGATAAGAGTTTCCTGAACAAATCATATTAAACGTATTTTAAAAAAAATGTTTAACAATCCAGATACCGCTGAAAGTTCAACTACTTTTAACACAGAAAACTACAATAAACCTGCTTTCCTACTATCTCTAAATTAGTTAAACTTTTTGGATCGTTTCTCATCACAATTGTGTATTAATTCAACAAACATTGAAAGTTAGCAATGATTTTGAAGGTATATATATATATATTGTAAACTTATAGTTTCATTCGAGTCACAATTTAAATTACAACAAATTAACTTTAAAAATTATTAGACAAAATCATAGATAAACAAATTACATGATAAATTAGTCATCGGATTTTCACTTAATTTTAACCAAAAATTAACATGTTATCACAGTAATGCATATCTATTCAGATGGATACATATTATTTCGATAAAATGTTATATAGAGTTATATATATTCAATATTTATAAGCAATTTAGAGAAAATAAAAACGTGTATATTGAATATTATTTTTATGTGATAATCTAAACGGGTGATAGAGAAAATTAAATCCGATTTATGTTGATCAATCTTGTACAATTCATTGATCATTGAATAATACTCATCAAGGTTATGCATGTTAAGTACACGTTTTTCTTTCAAAGCGTTGATTGAATTTTATTAATCAAATTGTTGTGTAAAAACTAACTTGATATTTAAGTTCATTAGGTTGTGATGTAAAGTAATGAATGGTTGAAGGAGGTCGATAGGAAACTCCAACACGAGGTTTCGAGATGTTTGACATTTGTCAACAAGGTGTACTTGTAATTCTGAGGAAATTGTTTCTAACTAATGGTACAATGTGTACTAATATATCAAGCCTATATGACGTTTCCTAGATTTAGGGAGATTTAATTAATCTATATTCTCTTGAAGTCATTATTTACTGGTATTTTGATCCAAATAATTATTCGCTTATAATCTTGGTTATTGTTCTTTGAGTATGTAGGCACTGCTTACTTCATTTAACATATGTCTAGTTTATTTGTGTTTGACAATAATTGTCTAGTTATGTCTTATTAAATCCAGTTGGTCCATTCGCCTTATTCATCTCCGGTTGGGTATGTTAGATCCCCAAAACTCGCTTGATAAATGACTTATTTTGGATTTCACGTTTACGAGCATAGGCTAATCAGTTGACCTTGAGATTTCATTTCCCACCAGGAGAATCCATGGCTGTGATTGGCTGTTGTGTATTTTAGTGTGTTATTTTCGTAACTGTCCCAAGGACGTTTCTATGATGTATAAATAAACGAGAGTTGTATGTTTGATTGTATTGTGATTGCTGGGTGTTTGTAGAATATACTGTCTCGTTGACTTGGTTAATTAAACAATTGTTGAAGGAATAACCGAGTGGTAATATTTGTTTAGATTATGATGTATATTTATATTTATTATGAATATTAGAACCGTCATTTACTCCGATCACTTTGTTTTGTATTTCGACTGGGCAATAGCGCGTATCTAAACTACCTTGAGAGTTATTCCTTAATCCAAACCTCAGTTTGGATTTTACACTCTACATTCATTGAAATCTGAAAGAACTTTGTTCTTGCTTAGGTGGTTGTAAAAGCAACACAATACACAGTGAATTGATCAAATTTTTTCGCATCCTACTCCTTATTTGTCCTTATCAATCTGTATGTCATGTCCTAATCAGCTTGAACGAACGCAAGTACGTGCACTTAGAAAAAAAGAGACTTCTTTCCAACATTTGCATATTTTGATTGAACGATATTTTTCTTAGATAACTATGATTGGATCGAAAAAACACAAATTTTCTTATTCGAAAAATAATCAATTCAGGTTAATTGTATGAAAAAAGAAACAACGTGCAACGAATATTATAAATGCACCGTCAAATAAACATTCATATGTAGTGTATAGTAAAGAGAATAACTTGTACTGTATAGTTGATCGAATTGAATTCTACTATAAAAAAATATTACAACATTCGATAGTAATAATAATAATGATAGAATTTTGGGAAGGATTGGACTATGAGCAAGTTAATCTCATGTGGTGTAATGGGTATGAGAATGAATGTCACTTCCTGGGTGCCCATACCGTGGAAGGAGGAATCTGATAAAGAAATCAGATTAGTGAAGGTTTTTGGTGACTGAAGAGCCCAAGGGATAAATGTTTGAGGTCTGTTATGTACGGCCTTGTTTGCTGCACTGTTTAAAAGATCTTACTGCCGCGGACGGGGATCCAAGGTGTAAGGTGAAGTGTTGTGAGAAGGCGGCATCACTGCAGATGGTGGAAACACCCTAATGCAATCACACCCCTTAACGATCAGCAGTACTATTTCACCCTCAGACCTTAAGATGCTACTCTTAATCTCACCGCTCTCCAATCGACCTACTTTGTATGGTAGGACCTGGAAAAACATGTGTTCCAGCCAATATAGCTCGGTTGGGTCATCACGATAGGCAAGCCGAACCACCACACCAAGGTAACAGCTACGGTCGGGTAATTAAAGTTTATCTAGCTTGAAGAGACTTTATAATATGTCATTAGCGAAAAAGCACGTACGTATCAAGTTCCACGTTGTAGCTAACTAACTCAGTGAGTACCATCTAACAATAAATGAAATACCGTGCAAGATTAAAGTGCAATTTAATGAACAGTACATGTTACAGTGACATTATTAATTATTAGTAGTTCACATGACGCTAATCCATAAAAAAGACTGCAAAACGAACTAAATCATTCTCACAAATCTCATAATCTTATTAATTAATGCTGATTATACATGGGTATCTCAATACATTTAAATAGTGATCTTTCATTTGATTTATTTTATTCATTCAGTTAATATTTAGCTGAACAATTTCAAGTATTTAAAACAACTACATGAAGGTCAATAGAATTTTCATGATTATTTATGACGTTTATTAACAAAGGCCGCCAACCAGTATTCCATACCATACTCTGTCCTGGACTTCGCTTTCCATTTCTGTTCATTTTTCTCACGCCTGTCCCTTGGCCTTCCTCTTTTCATTTGGCATGGAGGATTCCAAGTGAAGGCTTGTAACTCAGTTGGGAGTTTTCCTCAGTGAGTCCTATCCACCTCCAGCGTTTCTTCTGCTGGGATAGAGTTTGCTCTCTTCCACAGTAGATTGCTGATAGTGTCTCGTCGACGTGTCCTCAGTATTTAGCGAAGCCATATTTTAATAAACACTTGTATCTTCGGGATGATGACTTTCGTGGTTTTCCAAGTTTCCACTCCATACAATAGAGAACTGTTTTAACGTTTCTATTGAAAATTGTGATTTTAGTTATTTTGAGTTACAAATGTTCTTCAACTGTAGAAATACTGCCATTGTTTCACCAACTGAAAGATCTTAATTATAACACAATGGTAACCGATGGTTAGAGACTTGGGACGACATCGCTGAAAATCGTTGGTAGTCGCGCAGATGCAACCACCATTTATCTTCTCTGCCCAGCACTTGGCTCCGTCCTACTTGACAAGTATTAAACATGGCCAGTAATAGTAGAGGATATTCGTAGGTTACTGGTTTTCAACTACAATTGCCCGTATATCCTAGGACAATCGAGTAGGCAATACAACTGCTAGGAAACGGGTAGTAGGTAAGGATGGCGAATCAATTAATTGAGTAGTGAATCTTCATCAGTTGAGGTATTTAAGACATGTGTTACGAATAGCCAACCACCTTAAAGAGCGGTGTTTTGTGATGTACGGGTAGTAGGCTGGAAGAAAGCTAGAGATGGCCAAACCAAAACATGGTGCAAATCCATGAAGTTGCTGACAGCTGAATTGAGTCATGTCGGTAGGTGTCGACTACCTAGTTGAGTTCCACGAGATGGTAGTAACCCGTGGTTAGATACTTTGGATGATATGACTCAAATCGTTTGCAATGGCGCAGGTGCATTCATTCTTTGTGTTCTCTCGAATTTTAATCCTCTGAATGGCTCACAACCTTTATCTTTTTCTTTTTAAGTTTATTTCACTAGATTCTACTTCTTGAATAATATCTTCGATCACTAATCATTTTAATTATCGCTAATACTTCTAATACATCTACTACTATGAGATTTGAATCGACAATCTAATCTCGCTGTGCTAATGTGGTATGACAACTTGAACTGATATACACACGCACATATGTACGATGTTCTACATTATAACTGACTGACTGAATTGTAACACTGTAAAACACTAATCCCTTTGATCAATAACAAATGAATACAAGTCAATTTTACAGACACTTATGATTATGATCATTATCATTAATAATATATATATCAGTTTCTTTTCTCAAAAAATAATATAACATCAATTTACAATGGATAGAAACTCTTGAAAACCATTAAAAAAAATCAATAATTCCTATTTAATCAAGAACCTAAATATACAAACAAACAATAACAATAAAAATACAATATGAAATGATAAGTACAACAAAAGAGGGGAAAAAAGAAGAAAGCGTCATCATCTTCATCTTCATCATCATCATCATCATCATGATGCACATTGTGTGTGTGTGTGTGTGTTCAATGGAGTTTTTGTAAAAATTGATCACGAAATGATGAACTACTATACAATGCTTTAATTAAACAACGTAATTCCGATGCAGTTAAATGTGATTCAGTAGATAATTGACCATTGCCATCATTCCATAAAATATCACGTATTTCTGCTAAGGATGATGCAGCTAACACTGAAATTACACCATATAAACGTTGATAATCTGGACAACGTCGTGTTAATAGTTCTTTATCATTGAAATTCTATCAAGAGTATAAGTGAAGAAAAAAAGGAACAGAAACACTTTAATTATGTTTTTATGCAAGTGAAGGTTGGTGAATAGCAAACTACGTGAGTTGATCAAACTGTCATGATTTCTAGGTGGATTGTTACAATTAAATTACACATATGATGTATATTATGTTAGGGGTGACTAGAGATGATAATCGGTAAAAAACACCGATTTACTTATTTAAAAGCATAATTACTCAAACAAAGAGATAATCAATCAATCAATCGGTAGCAACGTAGAATTTCGTTCGTACATGCGTACGTATATCAGTTCGAGTTGTCATATCACATTAGCACAGAGAGATGCAATTGTCAATTCAAATCTCGTAGTTGAGGTAGTAGAAGTATTAGCAGTAATCGGAAATTTTAGGGTTCGAAGATATTATTCAACAAGTAGAACCTGTTGAAATAAACTTAAAGCGAGAAAGATAAAGAAGATTAAGAATTCAGAAGTTTAGGATTTGAGAGAACACAAAGAATAGATACACCTGTGCCATTGCAAACAATTTTAAGCCATATCATTCAGGGTCTCTAACCATCGATCACTAAAATCCCGTGGATCCCAACTAAGCAGTAGACACCTACCAACATGACTCAGTCCATTTGTCAGTGACTTTATGGATTTCTGCCATGTTTTGGTCTGGCCACCCTTATACAAAGAGGCACCTTAACATTTACGCTTTTTGTCCTATGAATTTATTGAGTTAAAAACCTAATCCTCAGAGCACTGGAATAGCCATTAGGAGATGCAGCACAATGATAGCCGTTGACTAACCATAGGTCCATATGCCATTTGTTCCTCCCCATGCGGATCCTCCGTACCGACAAAACCAGTCCACACAATTTTATAAAGAACACGCCTGCCACGAGAAAAGTCGCCACTAACCCCAGACTAAACGCTCCACCTTTATCCAGACATGGGACCGGCGATTAGGACAGAAAGGCTCCAGACGGAGTTGGAAAGTACTCTAGAAATCTTCTGACATAGTCACGCGTTATCAATTCCTTCTAGAGTACACCTACTAACTGTGTTTTCAACCGAAGTGAGCAGAAAAGTAGTAAACCTTCAGTTCTTGAGCCTCATTGGTGTATACGGACAGACCACTTAAGAGCATCAGAAACCCTGGTCTCCAAAACAATGGCTTACGTAGGCTCCAGGATCCTGAGGGAACTAATAACGCATAAACGTTATTTTTAGTCACCAACTACAATGAGATGACTTCTGCCATTGTATAAATGCGTTCTGGATTAGACCTTTAACCGTAGGCTCGGGAAATGACCATCATCTAACTGCTTCGGTTCGGCCTCTCAAGTGGTGATATCCCAGCATATACACACAAATATTTTTTTTTAAGAAAATAATATTTTTAATGCCAATTAGTACCAGGTGAATTGAAAGAAATAACACAAATAACTCAATAAATCACGTATTTTAGTCTATATCCCATAAATATATATATGCATTACGGGGTTGCGGAGATTGTTAAGTTACACATTTTGAAACCATCAATCGATCAATGTTAGACCACCATTAGAAACCTGGAAGCACTGGATGGCCTTTTCTTCCTGGTGTGGGACTCATCAGTAGTGCGCAATGACGACTCCTGAACCTTGCAGGATTGGAACCTAGGACCTTCGATCTTGCGCGCGAACGCCTAACCTCTGGACCACTGGGTCAGTGTTAATTTCTAACTCTGATTAATCTAGGGATTTAGAGCGACCTCACTCATTTCTCTTCGGTAGTTGCTGCCTACACCCGATAGGGTTGAACTCCACTGGTCATGTCTTCTCACTAGAACTCCGAGAATTTCCTCACGAATCTAGTCACTAGTCAGCACATTGTTCGGTTTTTCATTGCTGATAAGTCCCATACCAGGGCGAAACGGCCATCCAGTACTTCCAGGTTTCTAATGGTGGTGATCTAACAATGATTGATCGATAATTTCAAATGTCCAAAAAACACTAATCTCTATAACTCTAATTGAAAAAATTTTCACTATCTAATTATGTACACATTTCTTATTATGCAATTTAAACAGAGCTTTGTAACGATTATTTTTCACACTATTTATTCACGTTTGACTTACTATTTTCAATGCTGAATTATTGACAAAAAGTTTTATTATCGTATTTTATTATTGTTACCACTACTATCAGTACACCTGTCTTCCTACTATCACCATATACTTTTATCTAATAAGCGTAGTTTCGTAATTTTTATATTTCATTGTAATTATTGACTCATAATAAGTTGTCGTGATAAATTTAACATTTTCTTATGATATGTATTCATGTAAATTAGATCGAATAGAAAAAAAAAACAGTATTGTTCACTTGATAAGTGTTGTTCTAATTATCACAAACAGAATAACGCCAAAAACCAAACAGGAGAATTGAACACAGCACAATATGATGCTTCGCTCAATAAAATCGGTAAACTTAGTTGTATATATTAAGAAATTTACATCTCCAATATACACATAAACAATTCTTCAATAATAATTGAATTACATGGTTGTGAAGATTGTTAAGTTACACATTTTTGAAATCATAAATCGATCAATGTTAGACCACCAGCATTGGAAACCTGGGAGCACTGTAAGACTCCCGTTTCGTCCTGGTATGGGACTCATCAGCAGTGCATATCCACGACTTCCGGACCTTCGATCTTGAACGCGAACGCCCAACCTTTGGAGCACTGAGTCGGTCCTGGGTTCGAATCCTGCAAGGTGCAGGAGTCGTGGATTGGGACTGTCACTGATGAGCCCAATACCAGGACGAAACGGCCATCCAGTGCTTCCAGGTCCCCCTAATGCTGGTCTAACATTGATCGATTAATGATTTCAAATAATAATCGACCTTCAATTATCCAAACATTAAATACATGAATCATAAATACAATCAATGTATATGCATCAAACATTTCTGATTTACAATATTCAATAACATTTATTTTTATACCTTTAACGGCATTGATTCTACATTTTGAAGTTTAAATCTACCGCCCATTGTATAATTTAAAGAAAGCACTGCGGATGATCTAATCTACAAGGAAATCTCTTTCCATAGTGACATATCGTCATGTCGGAGAAAAAAACATACTTGCATATGCTACTTACTCTGCCAGGATGATCTCATAGTACCTTTAACTAATTTGAAACAGTTATCGTTTAGGGTAATCAGTAAACGTTAAGTAGAAGAATTGTAATATGAACTCATCTATTAAAAGTATTAACCCGAAAAAAAAAATTGAATTCAGATTAAGCAAGAATTCCGGTTTATTTTCTTTATGCAAAAGATTGAAAGTCGCTACGAATAGCCCAAAAGTTAATATTTAATTTTTAAATATATGTTACAAAAGCCAAGAGGAAAACGCCTCGTTAAACACTGATATCCATTCAGTTGGTCAACCAAATGTTAAGCGGTTGAAATCAGAAAAGGATTCTAGTTAGCTCTAATGACCTGATCACAAAGGATCGAACAAGAGACAGCTGAAGAGTTCTATACTAGAAGATCTCTACTGCTCCACCTAGAAATTTTAATTGTTATTCAATAACTTCCACAAATTTCTCTTACAGTGATGGCAACTTCATCTTTTGTCATATTTCGTCAACAAGAAAAAAACTCATTCACTTACATGCTGTGATTTCATCACTGATTCTTCTGTAAATGATTGATGTCCAACTTCATTAGGTTTGAAAAATTCCGCGATCTAATAAATGAAATAGAAAATTACAAAAAAATATATATACATTAATGATTCGCTTGTAGTAGTGATTGTGTGTTGAATCTTCCCATTGATGTTTAAGGGCTGTAATTGATCAGTCTTATTCAGCGCATGTATGCATCGTGTTTGGATTGTCTATTGGTGGATAACACGATGGCGTTTGAAGTGAACGATAATGTTGGGTTCGAGTCCGGGAGTGAATATAAACTCTGTGGTCTAAGAACATCTAGCTGACGTGTCCCAAACAGAACGAAATGCGTATCCTTAATTCCATTGTCCTGTCACCTCAAGTCTCTAACCACTGGTTACCAATAATCATGTGAATCTCAACCAACTGTTCTCTATCTATATCTACATGACTTAGTCAAATATTAGTAGCATCTAACATTTTAACATATTACAGGATACATAACCAGTAACAATGAATGAATGAATTTCAATTTGTCATTAAATTTTTATCAAATCGACTGATCAACACAAAAAAAGTGACAAATTCACCTTTAAAGGTTCAACATCCTATAAGCCAATAAAAAGCAAGCATTAACGCACTCAATCATACATGCCGACTTGATATTGTCATCTCGCTTGGATATCGCAACTACATTGCTTGAAACACCTGTTAGTTCAGATTCTACTATTGTAGGTGTGTAGGTTAGTGAGCGGTGAAACAAAAACTCGTAAATCTATTGTTTTAAATCAAAATCATACTGGTGAGTTCTAACTAGTGACTAGTTTCGTGAGGAAATTCTCTGAGTTCTAGTGAGAAGACGTGACCAGTGGAGTTCAACGCTGTCCGGTGTAGGCAGTAATTACCAAAGACAAATGGGTGAGGTCGCGCAAAATCTCTAGATTAATCAGAGTTAGACATTAACATCGTTGGATGCCGGCCCAGTGGTTCTGAGGTTAGGCGATCGCGCACAAGACCAAAGGTCCCGGATTCGAATCCTGAGAGGTGCAGGAGTCGTGCATGCGCATTGCTGATAAATCCTATACCAGGCTGTCCACAGCTTCCAGGTTTCTAATGGTGGTCTAACAATGATTGATTGATGATTTTAAATAGTAATGATAACTTAGATGATGTCATCATCAAAGACATCAAGTTCGCTAGTTTAAACATATTTTATGGGAGTTATCCTACCGACCATTACATTGTGGCATTAATCCTTGACAATGGAACTGGGTGGAAAAGATGTGAAGGTAGATAGTTATTATGATATGTGCTTATAGTATAATGAACAGTTTTGTAATATAGCGGGGGATATGTCAGTTTATCACAAATCCTCGGTCATTCTCAAGTACCATACTAAAAAAAGACCCAATTTCTCACAACATTATCGACAATGTATAGCAAATCAAGTACACTATTTGTAAAAAAAAATTGATTCTGTTTTCTAGCCTACTATATTTCCATTACAATAACAACAAAGATATACAGTTAGTTGATTTCACATAAATTCCATACATATTGTAGACTGTGATCGATTTTAATCGCGTATCACAAGTAATTATGAGGTCATGAAAAAGAAGTACCTCCTCAGCGTAAAACACTTAACGACGTTAGGGTATAACAATAATCATTAATCAATCATCATTGTTAGACCACCATTAGAAACCTGGAAGCACTGGACGGCCGTTTTGTCCTAGTATGGGACTCCTCAGCAGTGCGCATCCACGACTCCTGCTCCTCGCAGGATTCAAACCCGGGACCTTTGGCATTGTAGGCGAACGCCTTACCATCGGAGTCCCATACTAGGACGAAACGGCCGTCCAGAGCTTCCAGGTTTCTAATGGTGGTCTAACAATGATGATTGATTAATGATTTCAAATGTGTAAAAACGCAAACCTCCAAAACTGTGCCCCAATATAACAATAATACATGAAAAATACTATTAGATAAAATAACCAAGAACTTCTTGTTCGTTAAATTGTGCAAACATTGAACAACAGAAATGAGGTGTATATCTGTGACTAGCCAATCAGATTTCAGTAGGAAATTTATTCATCCATATGCCGAGCTATACAAATAAATTACTACCGCGGATAAATCAGTTCGTGATAAAATCAAAATTTAGACCTTAATCATTTATATCTAAAGATTTATCATTCACAACGTTCAAACTGTTTATCACTTGAAAATGAAACTGAATTCTTCTGATTATCAAATTATTTGAAAACTCAAGTTCAAGGTCACACACTGATAAGCCTTACTTCCATCTATTGGAATTTGACCATTTTCATGGAAATGGACCATATTGGAATTTAGGTGGAAAGAGGAAAAATATTAGGAAGCAACAAAAAGAAAAGATTAACGGTAGAAATAACAAGCAGAAAACAAAAATAAAATATAATTTGAGGACACGTGAACTGATCCAACTATGTCAACAAAAAGAGAGAGCGAGAGAGAGGGAATAAAAACAAACACCCAGAAGGAATTGGATTTAGACAAAAAGAGCCGAAAATACATCACATGCTTAGCTGAATGATTAGATGATTGTTAATTTAGCTTAAAATGTTGCAGTTATACTACTAACAGTGAATATCAGCGTATTTTGTATACATTTAATAGTTTGGAAGAACTATAGTACTTTGCTGATTGGTTGTCGTTGCTTTAAATATGCCTGAATGTCAAGCTTGTGTTCGAAATGACATGACTCGAAATCGTTCACAATGGCGCAGGTGCATTCACTCTTTGTGTCCTGTCAAATTCTAATCTTTGGAATTCCTCATCACCTTTATCTTTCTCTTTCTAAATTTACTTCACTCGTACATACTTCTCGAACCATATCTTCAAACCCTAATCATCTTTATTATCTCTAATACTTCTACTACCTCTACTACTATGGCATTTGAATTGACGATTGCATCTATCTGTGTGCTGATGTGGTATGGCAAGCTGAACTAATGTACGTACGTACGAAATTCTACATTGCAACTGACTAGTTGACTCACTAACAAGCTTGCGTCGTGTATAAGCATATGTATGAGCTGAGTTCTATTATTCCTAGTTATTTTGCTGAAATATACAGTTTCAAAAAGCCTTTGACCACTGGTTATCTTTATACTATATTTTTAGAATTTTGTCAACTACCTATCTTAACATCATTTCATCCTCCCTTTAATCTAATAAAATAATTAAAAAAATTGCAGCTATTGGTTATTATAATTTTTCAGTAAAGTGATATAAGAGGTTAATAATCTTTCAATATTCAACTTCTCTTCAAAATATAAAAGCTCATATAACATTTACTAAGTACACTAGCTCTAACATTTCAAACGTTGTCATGGACACCAATAATGTGTTATTAAAACTAAATTGTATTAAGCGAAAAAAAATATTCATTCCTATCAACACATGGACGCACATCTATGAATACAAGTTAGTCAGTCGATCACGTATTTCTTAAATAGTTCCAATTACACTCTAAAATTTTCATGAGTACGGATTTATACTTTTAATCGTTGGGAGAAAATGGTCAACCTCAAGATTTTTTAATACCTCATAGTCTTCCCGTGTTCGTAGCTCATTGCTAGGCTAGTAGCTGTGGTGCATATCAACGTGCCTCATGAATAAGTCAATCTATTACTAATTACATCGAATAATAAGGGCTAAACTGAACTCCGAGGGTGAGTTAACTGTGAAATCAGTTAAAGATCACAAAGCATATCTCCGATGAAAAAAGAAAAGCTGGTGGTTGATTGAATTGAAAAAAAAGCGTTCACTGACGAAAACATTAAAACATATTTTGGAAAAAAAACACGATTAGGATGTAGAGTTTAGGATTACATAAACGTTGTGTCGATCCTTAAATTCTAAACTTTAAATTATAAGTTTAGCATCGACGATAAGACTCAAGCTATACATCCTAATCCTAACTCTCTTCTTAGTCAGTCGCAACGTAGAACCTGATACTTACGTGCAGTAGTAGATCAAGTTGCTATACTGCAGCATCAAAGAGTGATCAAATTATCATGAGGTAGATAGATGTGACAGCAATAAGGTGCTTTCCACGGACAACTAGTATCTACACCAACACTGCCTTCTCACAACGGAGGGAGAAAGAAAAGTTTGAGCTAAAAATGTAACACATTGTCTTCACAGGTTTCCGACCCTGATGGTACGGTCTTTTGAAGAGTGGAGCTACAAAAAAGCCCTGTGTGACAGACCTCAGGCAGTTGTCTCTTCCTCTCCACGGTTACGCTTCCATGTCTCTAGGACCAACACAAATCTAGCTAGTTTTGCAGGTCCGTATAGAAGAAATATCCTTCTACAGTGTGGGCAGCCAAGAAGTGATGACAATCGACTGCATACTTCTAACAGCACACGAGACTATTTATATCATGATCAAATCGTAACCCTCTAATTAATTAACTAGACACCTTTGATTGATTAAGCTAAACTCGGATTTATGGTAACATAAATCACCCATTCATATTTGTCTCGTTCCGATTAGTTGAATGTTTCAACAGAATATTAGAAAATTATTGATAGATACATTCAAGCCCGCCCTAATAGTTCAATTTTATTATAATAATAATAGTCAGTCAACAATAACAACACAGAACTTTGTACGTACGTACATCAGTTTAAGTTGCCATACCACATTAACACAGAGATGCAATTGTCACTTCAAATCTCATAGTAGTAGAGGTAGTAGAAGTATTAGCAGTAATCGGAAATTTTAGGATCCACCTGTAGACCCTCAGAGGCTACTGCCGGTCTCAAGCCAGAATAAAGGAGGAGGGTTGGCGACCCCATCTCGCAAAAAACTAACTCACTAAAAAAATGATAACAATTAAAAATAATTCAAAAGATTTAAACTTTGCTCTGGAAGTTAGGTCTTCATTTAGAAGAGTTATGACGTCTTATGATGAAAACGGAGTTCCTTCAAAAGTCACGAGGCCGATGTCCCTTCTGACATCCAGAGCTCTTCCATGGTGTGGGCAGCCAAGAAGTAACATCCGCCCTCGTACCCATAAAACCACACGAGACCAAACTGGTCAGAATCAAATCTTTTCTACACCTCCTAATAATAATAATAATAATAATATTATTATTATTATAAGTTACTTACAGTGTTTTTTATAGACTCCAACAAGATCAGAATGTTATCACAATCCGATTTGGTAATATCAATCAACTTTAAGATTGATTTTACTAATTCCGTACACACACAATTACACATGATACCTGTGAAGAAAAAAAAACATGTACAATTGTAAAAAAGAAAAAAAATAAATCTCATGTGATAATTCAAAAACAAACAAAATATTATTATTATTACTTTCCATTTTTAATCAACATCATTCGAAACTTGATTATATCAACAAGAAATTAAAATAAAAACCCAGTGAATAATGGGTGTACAGCATTTTGTGATTGATCGGTTAAAATAAGTGCATAGATCCCAAACTAGACATACTATACCGACCTATCAACATATGCCCGTTTCATTGTCAATGACTTCACGTTATATAGTTTATCTGTCCGTAGATTTCTTCTCATCAGCCAACATTATCTACCTTGGTTACATTGTGTGGGTTAGGTCATAAGTAATCCAGGTCCTACGAACTTCAGTTGATGGAAAAATCGACTACTACCTCAGCCACAGACTTGTCATCGTTTTCTAATACCCTGAAACTAGCCTCAATATGGCTCACTTGATAGTTCCAACTTACACTATTAGTGCTTTGAATACACATTTATGGTGAAATACGAATACTGTCTAGTTTAAAAAACACGCTTCATAGACAATTGCCCAGTTAAGTTGTTGTTTTCGGTCGGTACTTTACAAATGAGTTAAGTTAGAAAAAAAAATAATTCAAATGAGGTTTTAATAAACATCCGCCTCGAAAGAGTCGGTCTTTTCTAAGCGTTTGTTGTCTGTTTTCTTTCGGTCTGATGACGTTGTTATTTAAGTATTCAAAAAAATGAAACTCTTGGAATATTTTTGAATTTATGATACTGTAATAATCGAATTCACAGTATCCTTTAAAAAAAATCATTTATCATTATTGTTAGTGTTAACTCTGTGAACAGTTAGTTATTGAATCAGCAATAAAATGCTCATTGGTTTTGATGTGTTATCTTTCTCTATCGCTTCCTCAGAGAATGCGGTTATTTCAAATTTTCTCATTATAGAGTTATGGAGATTATTTTTTATTACACATTCGCGCACAAGACCAAAGGTCCCAGGTTCGAATCCTGCGAGGTGCAAGAGTCGTGGATGCGCACTGCTATTGGTGAGTTCCATACCAGGACGAAACAGCCGTTCAGTGCTTTCTTCGTTTCTGATGTTACTTGTCTCACAATGATTCATTTGAACGTTTTTTTTAAACTAAACAAAAAAAGGACAAGTTCGAAAAAATGACGTCGCTAAACCTGTCAATATAATAAAAACGTAATAACAACATCATTTTGCACTATATAAACTTACCCATAGCACGAAAATAAACTGTACGAGGTAGTGGACTGAGTGCTTCTGAGATTTTATGCAAATGACGACAACAATCTTCAATAGCCGTAGTACAATGACGATTACCAGCGGAAGAACTGATATTCTATGATTTAAATAAACATTATATATATATATATATATATATATATATATATATATATTTAAAATAACCATTGTTAATGAAAGTAATCTTCACTGTTGTCATTGAATAAAATATGAAGAAAAACATTCAATTTAGAGAAATTTTCTTGTCAATCAAAATCATTTAATTAAGCTATAGGATTTGTATTTACAGTTGTTTGGTGAATAGATAAGTCTATTGAAGAGGAGAGGTGATTGAAGAGTTCAAATATTAAAAGATTACACAATAGTTGAAAGAGGTTTATGGATAGAAGACTAAGTAATGGTTGAGGGAAGCTAAACAAGAATGTGGTGATGAAAAATAATTATGAACCGATCAGTGTTAGGCAACCACCATTATAAACCTGTAAGACGGTCGTTTCGTCCTAGTGTGGGACTCATCAGCAATGCGCACCCACGATTCCAGAAACTCACAGGATTCGAACCCAAGATCTTCGGTCTTGCGCGTGAACACCTAACCTTTGAACATTTGAGCGTACTGATGAGTCCCTTACCAGGTCGAAACGGCCGTCTTTCAATGCTTTCAGATTTTTATTGGTGGTCTAACATTGATCGATTCATGATTTTAATGAGTACCTTAAAAATCTTCACAACCCCGTGATGCAACTATCCATTTAACAGATATGAAGAAGAAATGAACAACGTATAAGTTACGATCAAAACTGAATAATCGTCATGCACAATTGTCAGAGGCGCATGTCCCTCAAAGGGTGAAAAATGTAAGTAAGGCAAGGTTCTCTTCTACGAGACGTGATTGCGAAACTCATGCCCAATCAACCTTCTTTACCCATGCTTGAGGCGACCAATGACCGCATACAGGATTTTACATGGTACTCGAAGACAAAACAAAAACATACTACAAAAAGACATTATGAAGACGTATGGATGGAAGATGCACAGATTATTATTGTACGTCGAGTTGAGACCTGAAATGGTGAATTCCAAGCACCTCAGTTGTACATAATTTTTTTTATTAGACCTCCGCCGTTTTAATATGGACGACCTTTGAACGAGGATGAGATGACCTGATGAAATTCACTCATTTACTAGGGTCTAAAAAAGGATTATAAATTAGTGTGGAATAAGAGTTAGGGTTTTCAACACGAACTGACATTAGCTATAATGCCGAATTGCTATGTAGCCATATGAATGCATTCTACACGAAAATCCAAGACTTACAACCATAAATCTGATTGGTTCATCCATGAAACATAGTCTCACAAACCTCGCTTCTTTGACTCAATTCATTTCAGCTATGGATCATTTGCAATCACAATTCCACTGAAACAAATTGCTCAAAATTGATGAATCGATCACTTTATGTTTTTATTTCCCGACCGTAGCTGCTACCTAGTGGTGGTGGTCAGGTTTGTCTGTCATGGTGACCCAACGGAGCTACATTGTCTGGAACATATGTTCTACCATGCCAGGCAGGTCGATTGTAGAACGGTAAGACTAAAATCAGCAACTTAAGGTCTGAGGCGAAGTCGTACTGCTGATTGCAGAGGGGTTTGAGAGCAATAAGGTGTTTCCCTCGGACAACCAGCATCTGAAGCGATGTCGTCTTCTCACAAGGAAGAAAGGGGTTAGAAAAGGTTGGTCCTAAAAATATCACACCTTGCCTTACCTCACGGAATTCTGTCTCCGGGTGCTAAGGCCTTTTAAACAAGAGTGGAGCTAACAATTTAAATACTACCCATAAAAAGGCCATGCGTGACTGGCCTCAAGTAGTTGACCCTTGCGCTCTGCAGTCACACTCTCAGGTCATTAAGACCGGCAATAACCTACCTTCATTTTCAGGTTCCTCAAGAAACACCCTTCAACGATGTGGTCAGCTGGGGAGTGACATCCACACTCATACCTGTAACAGCACACGAGACCAATTCGGTCACAACCAAATCCTTCTAACACCCCCTAACATCTCTCTTATCTCCACATCTCATCCTCGCCACATTCTTTTATCACTCCGCACCGCTAATGACTGAATACATACCTATTTCAACAGCGCTACTTAAAGGATAAGCAACACTATCAGTGTTCAACCAATTCAGGAATTCCAAGTAAATATGCCTTGACGTGAAAAATTATTAAGTGACAAATACACAAATGGAAGTTATGACAATGTTGGGCGGTGTCAAAACTAGGCGGAATTATTGAATAAGTAAACCCAGAATTACCACTCCATGCATCAATAGACATTAAATAATGAAAATCAATCAAGCCTGGATAAAATTTGTTCAAATAAATAAGTAGATAGAGAAAAAAATCAATAAATGTGGCTTGGCATAATGTTCTGATGCTTAGTTCTGTATGATATGATTTAACGGAAGCTAATTACACAATCTATGACGTAAATTATACCTATTTTAAATATCAATGAGTCAGTAAACATTGAAAAACATCACATGGTAGTGAAAATTATTCGTTTTTTGTGAAAATGCAATTCAGTAGATGAAAGGGGAAAAGTGTTACGCTCGTCTCTTGATCCCTTGACCTAATTGTACCAGCAAGAAGTCATGATATAGTGTAGAAATTGTATTCTACAAACACCCAGCCAGTACACAATGAATCCAAGCACTCGAATTGCGTTTATTTAAACTCTATGGACACGTCCTTCGGACAGTCACAAAAATAGCACACTAAAATGACACAGTAACCAATCACAGCCAAGGCTTTTCCTGGTGGGAAATGTAATCTCAAGGTCAACTGGTCGGTCTATGAAATAAATCCAAAATAAAGATATTTATCAAGCGAGTTCTAGGGATCTAACATCCCCAACAAAAAGTATAACATATTGACGACCTTGGAAGGTGTATCAACTAATCAGAAAACACTGTCTTAGGATTAAAAAACTATAAAAATATCCAGTGGAATAATAGCTTGTTTCAAATAATCAACCTCAAACACGTTGGATTATTTCTTGTACTGGAAAGAAAAGGCTACGTTCATAACCTATTAAAAGCCAATCTAGTGTTATGAGTTATCATGATCACCATACAGAGTTTTCTCCACCAACCAAGATCATCTATGATGCTGAAAGGTTAAGGTTAGATTTTGAAAATTAAGTTGGAGTAGTGAGTTCAGTTTTCCACATTACGATTAAGGTTTTCTTCCTCACAAATTGACATTAGGCTATGATGCGATGCTTCTGTCATGATACTTTTTACAACATTAAGAGATTTATATTTAAGATTTAACGTAAGAGTTAGCAAGGATGGATATTATTTTCCACCTTCCTTAAAGACTAATGACAACGCAGTGAATCATAGCGAATACTTTTTCATCCTACTATTTGACTTCATAATTTAGCTTAATCATCGTGTTAAATTCATTTTTTAGTTTCAATAAAACAAATTTTTATTCATTTGAAGGATATATATATATACATAGCCAACTTCCACTTTGCTAATAATCTACACATAAGCTATCTATCGTTGAACTTTAAATATCGCGCAAAATACAAGAGGTGTGTCCCTGATTCTGATTGGTTCACTCAAGGTCATCAGCTGGGTTGTACTTTTACCGATGAGAATAAACTATTAGCAATTTTTTATCAGTAGTATCAGTTACAATGGCGATAATGTTTACTTTAATGAAATGAAACGATTGAACTTTTATTGAAGGACAGATACATGTATACATATATTTCCTATCTCTAACAATCGCAGTAGTAGTAATAATAACGAAAATATAAATAGTAACAATGTAAGTTGTAATGAATGCCCTTTTTATACATTCACTGCAGGGCATTCTATATTACTGTTTGTATTTCCGTTTCGTTTTTGAATATATCTCAATTGATTGTGTTCTTAACCATCAAAATACAATCAATGGTTAGAACGGAATAAAACAAAAAAAGGAAAGAGTAATAAAAGCAAGAGATTTTCGCCTCAAGAAATAAAATAATAAGTGAATTAGAACATGTTTTGATGCGTGACGTTTTGGACTAGTTTAACCAAAGAAAGAACTATTATTTTACCAGTTGTACAAGTTCATATAGATTGGTTTCAAGTCACAGGTATAAGTTGTTGTTGTTGTTCTCACTAGGAAAATCCATGGCTGTGATTGGCTGCCGTGTATTTTAGTGTGCTATTTTCGTAACTGTCCCAAGGATGTTTCTATGATATATAAATAAACGAGAGTTGTGTGCTTGATTGTATTGTGTGATTGCTGGGTGTTGTAGAATATACTTTCTACGCTTACCAAGACTTCTGTTTATAACTTGGGATTCAAGGTAGCCCACCTGGACGCTGGTTCATTGTCTCGTTCGCGTTTATCGTCTAAGGTGAACTCGTAATAGCTTCAAGCGTACCTAGTGACGAACATAACAGTCGTATCACAGTTAGTGATACTTTAAAGTTAGCTAACCTGAAGTAATTCACTGAAATGAAGTTCAAATGGCTAAAAAAATAAGAACATTTTAATCAATAAACTATTGTTCCATTCTCAATGAATCACCTTAAATCTCGATTTTATACATTTTTACAGTATTACTAAAAAAGAAATGCATTAGATGTATTGCTGATCATAGCATTTCATGTCAACTTTTATTTATCTCCCTATGGGGTTGTGAAGATTGTTAAGTTAGGCGCGGAAATCATGTTAGACCAACCAGCATTAGAAACCTGGGACCAATGAAAGACGCCCGCTTCGTCCTGGTATGAGACGTATCAGTGGCAGTGCGCATCCACGAATCCTGCCACTCGCAGGATTCGAATCCAGGACCTTCAGTATTGAATGCGAACGCCTAACCTCTCTTAATCCTCTATTTCAAAAGAGGTAACAAAAATATTAAATGAGACTTTTATAGAATGGTAGGATGATTTGATAGGTGATTTGTCTAATTAATTTCATTTTGACTGATGAGTTGAACTGATATTTTTTTGATAAAGCTGCATGAATAGGCGTTCGTTTGAAAGATAGGCATTAGATATTTTTTTGGAATTTTACTGTTTGAAAGTAGGCTGCATTGTGTTTTTGTACTTTCAGATAAAGTTTGTACGCAGTTGATATTCCAAGTTTTTAGATTGTTTATTAGTACAGTTGAGAAATTGATCTGTGTAAGTCGGCTTCTGAGTTTACTTGTATCCGTCCGACTGCTTTTTCATTGTGAATTTCATGTCATCTAAGATATTATTGATCAAAATATATAGGCGTTTCACAGTTCACTCTTCTTGATGATAACAAATATGTCTACCATATAACGAATCTATACTTCCAGCTTGATCACTAGTAAAACTGAGGCTTCCAGTCTCTGAATCACTACTTCTACTATAATTCCTTACGTTCATGAATCCATTGGCGTTCCTTTCGTCTGTTCACTGATTCGATTATTGAATTAAAGATATGTGTGGAGACTTTAACTTCGAAGCTTTGTGTACTTTGGGAGTTTTGTATCATTGATGAAGAGCAGTGATACAGTTCCCTCTCATAAATTCGGTTCAATTGTGGTGAGAGAAAAAGTAAGACGCTGTTACATCGAAGAATAACATCAGGTCATTGTTGTTGTTGTTATTGTTGTTGACTGGAATCTTCATTATCCTAATCTGTAGCGGATCCAAACAGTTCACAGGACAGAGACTTCATCAAACCAGTGAGACACTATAACCTAATATCTTACATATTACAATATTTTACTTGAGAGAGTTTCATTAGTACAGTTCACTTTGTAAAACTAAAACAAACACTCATTAATACTGACAATAATCAAGTACTACTATGTAATGAGTATGGAATAAATAACTTAAAATAAACAACACAATCATAATTGGCATTGTAGACACATACGCACACACACACACACACACTTCATTAAAAATACTCCGAGGAGAATTGCATCTATTTTTTTTTTCATGAACCATGCGTTTACGGTCAAAGGTTCATCTGAATAATTTACACTAATGTAAATACACAATACTTTGGTCTGTTGGTGTTGATGTTGAAGGACAGACAACAAAGTTTGATTCTACGTGTAAATATGTTTATCAAAATTTAAAATTCCACACGATAATTTCAATTATGAAGTACAAGCGCAGTGTAACAAACTGCATGCATTGATCACGATTTGGGTATGTGTATATAAATATTTATATGTTTGTCCAATACAATCAAGAGTGTTAATTGTTTATACAGAGATATGGTGATAATAAATGAACGAGTGCAATTAGCGCCATTATTACCTTTTCACCTTTTCAATAAATGTTTGTTATGTGATAAATAATAATAAGTAAACACGTTCACAAATAACTTACTTTGATATTGATGAAATTAGTAAGTAGAAAATTATTTGAAATGTGGACAATTTGTTATGGGAATGCTTTGTGACTAACTGTGAATTGAATTCCCGACCACCGTAGCTACTCTACCTTGACATAGAGATCGGGTTCGTCTAACTCAACTGAACTATATTGGCTGAAACATATATTGCTGTAGGTTCCTACCACATAAGGCAGGTCGATTAGAGAACGATGAGAGTAAAAGCAGCAACTCAAAGTTTGAGGGCGAAGTTGTAATGTAGATAGTAGAGGGGTGTGTGACAGCAGTAAGGTGTTTTTCTCGGAAAAACAACATCTGCATTCTCACAGGGAATGGAGTGGTTAGAAAACATAGACCCTAAAATGTCACATCTCATCTTACCTCACAGAATTCCGTCTCCGGCGGAGCTAGCACGTTGAAAACTTCCCATTAAACGGCCATGTGTGACCGGGCTGAAGCGGTTGTCCCTTGGGCTCTGCGGTCACGCGCCCAGGTCACTAAGGACACAGCTCATCTAAAAGTTCTTTTCGGGTTCCTCAAGAAACACTCTTCCAGAGTGTGGGCAGCCGGGGAGTGACATCCGCCCTCATTCTCGTAACAGCACACGAGTGACCGTCAATTTGATTACCAAAGAAATGTTTGTTTATTTGACTATGAGCTCTATGTTTCTTTTGTGTTATGACTAGTGATATTAACCGGTTGCAAAAATTAATGTTCTTAAAGATGGGGGAAAGATAGACTAAAAGTTGGATACTTTAAACGCTGACATTCTGGCTGAACAAGTGTTAAGGCTGAACACTAAGTATTATTTAGATTGACATCTAACCTGTTCAACACCTTGACTTAAAGGTTAGTTACAGTTCGACTGAAAATTTTACTTCAAATTTATTTTGATATGATTGGATGTGGTTGAAAACCGAAGAAGAAATATAGAATATCATTTCATTCTATCAACTATTGTAATGATTTAGTCATAAACATCGATGATTTTATTTACTGTATGAATAGTTCAGCTGAGTACACTTTACCGACACTTATTTACAACGAATATATTAAATTTCATCTAAATCATTATAGAGTTATAGAGAATATTGTTTTACATTGAAATCGTGAATTAATCTCTAATGAAAATGTGCTCACTAGTGACTAGCTTTATGAGGAAATTCTCAGAATTCTAGTGAGAAGCCGTGATTAGTAGAATTCAACCCTATTGGGAATAGGCAGTTACCTTCCGAATACAATCGGTGAGGTTGCGAAAAATCATTAGATTCATCAAAGTTAGACATTAACACTGTTGGTTTAGAGGTAAAGCGTTGACTCACGAGACCGAAGGCCTTGGGTTTCATTCTTACGAGTCAGGGTGGTGGATGCGAACTACTGAAGAGTCCTATACTAGGACGAAACGATCATCTAGTGCTTTAAAGATTCTAATGGTGATCTGAAAATGAATGGTTCACGATTTCAATGTAAATCAACTTGAAAGATAAACTCTATAAGACAACTATACTTCATTGATACTGGTCGCTATCTTGCAACATTCCTGCAAATGAAGAGATACCAGAGTGCCAGTAATCTATGTAGTTGCAGCACAGGATTGAGCTGTACTGTTTAGATTGTAGTGTTAACACCTGGACAGTGTTTGGTTCTCCTGAAAATCAAAGTCAAAACTACCATTGCCCATTGAGGGTAAAATTATATAATTGTGAATGATCTGGTTATACGCAAGGTCACATTTATATTCAGTCAGTTTTAGAGGCGTCTTAGAAGTTAGTTATTGGTATATTTAATCAATTGTTAAAGAGCTATCTATCATAAAGTGTTGAAATGCCACTCGAAAATCCAAAAAGCTATTACCTCATATCTTTAATGAAAAATCGTGCAATGTAATCACTAATGACTAGTAGCTTCATGAGGAAATTCTCGGTGTTTGTGGTGAGAAGACGTAACCAGTGGAGTTCAATACTGTCGAGTGTAGGCAGTAACTACCAAAGAAAAATGGGTGACGCTAAGCAAAATCCTTAGTTTGATCACAGTTAGACAATAACGCCGTTGGATGTCTGCCGAGTGGTTCAGAGGTTAGGGATTTTACGCGCAAGATCAGAAGTCTTAGGTCCGAACCCTGTGGGTAACAAGAGCCGTGGATGCGTACTGCTATTGTTGAGTCCCATACCAGGCCAAAACGGCTGTCTAGTGCTTCTAAGTTTCCAATGGTGGTCTAACAATGATCGATTCATAATCTCCAATCAAAGGCAACAATCCCCATAATATGAAATTTCTTTCATTTGTCAGAAACATACATGTAAACAGTTTCTTTAAATGAAAAACAAAACACATCTGTACACAACCCAACTTACATGAAATCCTTGTATTCTTTCAATACATCGTAGTAGAACTTGTCTTTCACGTCTTAAATGATCTAATAAATTATTAATACCGGCCTGACGTAAATGTGGCACCAGAATACAAGTACTCAAAGAAGCTGATCTCTCCAACATGGTTAAATCATTGAATGTGTTTGATTCGTTTGATGTAGCAGTAGTAGTAGTAGTATTGTTCAATGCTTTAGTCATGACATCATAGCCTAAATCTAAAAACTGCTGAACAAATTTGTATAGACCACGTTCACCTAATGTTAAACATTGATGAGCTAAATACATACAGTCATTGTAGTAAAGAACTGAGAAAATATAAAGGGGGAAGAAATAAACAAAAGTACACTATTGTTATTCAGAATAAAAACAAAACTAACCAACAAAGAAAATTGATAACAAACAAAGCATCACTAAAATATCATAATCAATAATAAAAATTAAGTTTATATTACAGATTTGGGCGAACAAATGAAAATGAGAAAGAGAGATCATGTTTTCTTCTAAAAATTAGATTCTATTTATTAGTTATAGAACTGTTTGATACAATAGTAAGGAAATTTAAAAAAATGGGCGGAAAATATCTTACTAGTAAGTAACTAATGTAGATTGAATGGTACTTTAGTGGATCTTGATAAAGATCATGCAATATGAAGCTGTTGGGGATGTTAGATGCCCAGAACTCACTTGATAAAAGTCCTAATTTTGGATTTTATGTTTTCGCGCATGGGTTGATCAGTTGACTTTGAGATCGTATTTCCTACCCGGAAAATCCTTGGTTGGTCTATTATTTCAGTAGGCTATTTTTGTGACTCTCCCAAGGATGTTTCTATCATGTATAAATAAACTCGATTTGTGTGCTTGTAGAATACACTTGTCAAGACTTCTTCCTATACTTAGTGGAGCCTCAGATTAGAGTAGCTTATGGTGTCACTGGATCATTTGTCTTAGCTCTCGTTTACCGACTAAGGTGAACAACTCGTAATAATTTCAAGCAAATCAATTAACGAGCATAACAGAAGCGATTTTACATTATTTTGCAGTTAAAAAAGCATGATAACTAATCAATATTATTGTCAATAGATTATTCTTATCTAATCCCGACTTTTCTAGTCGCAACTTACACAAATAAACACTAGTGTCAATCAGTTATCACTCATAATCAACATAGAGCCTGGAGTATGTGTTAATTAACCTAGGTAGCTGATAGACATCAGTACGAGATGGATAGATAGTAAAAAAACAACTGAGAAGAATGTAGCAGCGGTGATAATGAAAAAGATTATACATAGAGAATATTCGATTGGAAAGATGGAATGAAATGTTATGCATCAGTGAATGATGGAATCCTAAGATAAGACAAAGAGTCAATACATCTGGACTTTTTGCAGCTGTCAAACTCACGCGATTGCCAGATTCGAATATCGTGATCACGCAATCAACCTAAATATTGGCTAAGATATTTGTTATTTTACGTTGAAGAGCGGTAAAATTTAAAAAAAAGTTTAGTGAGGGAAATCGTGCGACCGACTGCATAACAATATGATAGAACTTAGATGTTTTCCCCACATATAACTAGAATCTCTAGCGATGCCCAGGCCTTACTTCACAGATTTTCGTCTCAGGAGGTAAGTTCTTAGTAGTACGCAGGTAAATTATTTATTACTACTCAAAAAAAGAGTGAAGCTGTCGACACTAAACAGTTATCTCACAGATAGGGCAATCACGCTCCCAGGTTGTTAAAATCATCTCAAATTAAGTTTCTTATGAGGAAAACAATTTATTTATAGTGTGAACTGCAAAATATTGTACGAGAATAGTAATACTAATTGAAGCTCAGCCTCGACTTATTCACAAAAAATCAATTGAGTTTTCAAAACATTGTAGAATGGTCAGCAAAGTGTAGTATCAGATTAGAAAAGGAGTTATCAAGCTTATCTCATATCTTTCATTATGTTTAATGACTAGATTAGGAACTTATCTCTGACCAAGCCTTCAAATAATCTGGTACGGTGGTCAAGAGTGACAATACGTTGTATTCATGACAAAAGTCAAGTTATCGTTAGTTTAAAAGTAGATAAGTGAACATAATTCACCTAGACAAGTAACTTTTACTCAACACTCACTACTTTACCATCAAAACAAAACAAGACAAAATATTAAAATCCAAATAGACGCTGAAAATAACAATTATGCAATAGATATTCATTTTATCATTAAAAAAAACTAATGAGTATATATCAAGCAAGTTTTGTTTTATATAATTCCGTCAGTATAATAAGTCATTGAAAGAGTTTTCTTTCTATAAAAATAACGTTAATTAATAGTTGACTATAACAAATCATGGAGATTATTGTTTTTCATTTGAAATCATAAAATCGATCATTGTTAGACTACGATTAGAAAATTGGAAGAACTGGAGGGCCATTTCGTCCTAGTATAGGGACTCATCATCAGTGCACATCAACGACTTCTGTTCGCGATAATCGAGCCAACAACTATCAGTAAAACCCACAAAGCATAGTTATTTCATCATTTGAACAGTTAGACATCTAGACAATGCTCAAATGTGTTTTAATCAGCCTTATAGGCAAAAGTATACAACGCAACAAATCAATGAGTCATTTCGACTGTGGACTTTAAATTTAACTATAGTATTCAGTCATTTACAACGTAGAACTTCGTATGTGAGCATATAAGTTCATGTTTCCATATCATATTAGCACACAGAGACGCTATTGTCAATTCAAATCCAATTATGGTAGTGATAGTAGGAGTATTAGAGGTGATGGAAAAGATAAGGGTTCGAAGATATTATTCAAGAGGTATAAGTCAGACAAATAAATTTGAGAAAAGAAAAATAAAAGCGATGGCGAATTCGGAAGATTAGAATTTGATAGAACACAAAGAGTGGATGCACTACTGCAAACAATTTTGAGCTATATCGTCCAAGGTATCTGACCATCGATGACTTACGTCTCATAGACCCCAACCATGTAGCATATATCTATCAATATGACTCAGTCCGCTTGTTAGTGACTTGATGGATTTCTGCCATGTCGTCAGTCACCAGGCCATCAGCATTGATAAGACTCCCAAGATAAGTGAAGCGGTCAACACGCTAGACTACTTCACTCCCTACCACTAGTTCAGTTGCCGTCGCAGCCAATCTTGAAGCGAAATTTTACATTTCGAGGGTGAGAACGGCATCCTGAACGTGCTTGCATTGTTGCTCAGGGTAGTCAGAAGACTCTGCATTTTGTCAGCGTCTTCACCGAATAGGACTATGTCATCAGAATACTCTAAATCGGCAAGATAATATCGTAAGATCTGTTGATTAACAATGTGTCATTTAATCTTTTACTTTGATTGTACAGAGTATATTTTTTTTATAAAAGTAAGAATTCATCTAAAACTTAGTATGACATTAATCTACAGAAATTATATTATACAACTAACCAGCAAAACGTAGATCCTCTTGAAATACATCCGCATGTAAAGTTGGTACAACTGATGTGAATAGCATTATCAGACGAGGAATTAATTCAATGATAAATTCAACAAATGCAATAGTATTGGCCTTTTTTGAATCCAATGTACTCGGTGTATCATCATTCAATGATTGACTGACTTCATTTAACAATGGTTCAAGATAACCTTCACAATCATGAAGAATTTTATAGATTTGTTTCATAACAAGATCGACAGTTTCGGAAACCTTCAACAACAACAACAACAACGAGAAAAAAAGACAAATTAGAATGAATGAATGAATGAACGGTTGAGATGAAAGGTTTCGAAGATCATACATGTTAACACATTTGTTCAAAAAACTAAGTTTGTGTTAGGATCCTCAGAACGTTGCGTAGCAGCAATTATGGTCTATCTCGCTAGTTGTTGGATGTGTATGAAGATGGTAGTCATTTCCTGCTCGCTTACACCTTGAGAACTTATTTCCAGTAGCTAGAAAGGGAAACTGGATTAGCAGAGATCTTAATAACGTTGGAGGTGATCGCAGAGACTATGAGATAATTGCTTAAGGTCAGTCATAAACGGTTCTATGTAAGTAACGAATTAGCCCTGTCTATGTAAAAGATATAGAACTGGAGACACGTACCTGTAGCCGAATGTGAAGCGTGATATTTTTAGGGTCGACATTTTTATAATCTCTTATTTCCATTATGAGGAAGCAAAATCATTTCAGGTGCTAGTTACTTGAAGGAAACAATTTACTGCTGCTATCAAACCCGATAAAATAATGATAATCGTATATATTGAATGAAATAAAAAATAATCAATCATTCAAACCTCTATAGGACTCAGTTGTACTGTGGTGTGAGCTACTTATAAGTAGTATATGACGTGAGTGTCAACGTAAAGTCTGACAGCGGGAGATGGGGAAAGATCAAGAAAGGAAGAGTTATAAAACAATGGAATTTGTATGAAACGCATGAATAGTGACAATGGATTGATGTTTGGCAACAGGAACAGTCCAGTTCGATAGGATGAACTGATATTTTGCAAATGAACAATTTACGATATGGTTTTCCAATTTTACTGAGTAACTCTGTAATCCGGTTGCCCCACCTGTGTTCTGTTTTACTACAGTACTGCTAATATTTTTTAAATAGTATTTTCGTTAACTTCCAAATTTATACACTGTATAAAATAAAAAATATGAGTCAATTAAAAAGAGAAATTAAAAGGGTGTGAAATGTAAGTAGTAAGTACTATGTTGTAGTAGTTGGAGGCGATCGATATGAAACCCTCAATCTAAGTTTCGTGCTATGTGCTGCTCGTCAGTATAGTGGCAGCATCTCAAACAATTAAGCTGGATCGATAATTGATAGAATCCACCAGGTGCACTAGATCCTTCAAGATTACGAGTATAGTTAGCAGAGGAATATCGGACAACACTTAGGTTTAAGGTTTGCAGTCGACTAGCTCCGATCACCTAATATCTCAGAATAGTGTTGAATCACTTGACCGGTAGAATCCGAACAGTGCTAAAAAGGACTAAACAATATAGTCAGTAAGCTACAACGTAAACTTTGTTCGCACGTACGTACATCAGTTCAAGTCGCCAAACCACATAAGCATAGAGAGATCGAACTGTCAATTCAAATCCCTCAGTAGTATACGTAGCAGAAGTACTAGAGATAACTGAAAAGATTAGGGTTCGAAGAAGTTACTCAAGAAGTACAATGCAGTGAAATAAATTCGAAAAGAGAAGAAAAACGGGCATTAGGAATTCAGAATTTGAGTGGAAACAAAGAATGGATGCATCGGTGCCGTTGCATACGATTTTAAGCGATGTCATTATAAATCTCTGACTATCAGCTACGATTTAGTTTAGTTGTCAGCGACTTTATGAATTTGTGCCATGTTTTGGTCTGGCCGACTCTACCTAACTTTAAGCCTACCCCTGTATCAGAAAACATCGCTTGTAGGGTAGCCGGTGGTTAGGCATACGTAAAACCATGTCCGAACCACCTCAAATAATGAAGACTCATTATATCATCAATTGACTTGCCATATTCATCTAGTACCCTTTTACTAACAACAGAATTGCTTGCTAGATGGTTTCTGTATATTCGAACGACGTTTCGAACACATATATGATCAAATACCAGTAACTTATGAATACTCTCTATTCTTACTACCATTAAACAACATGAAATCACCCATTACTCAGTAATTAATCAATAATAAGCAGCAAGTAAATAATAGTTCAAAACAACTCAGTAAGTAATTTTATATTTGCATACCCGACAACCAAACTAAAAAGGTGGCATTATTCTATTAAACTGTTGGCTGTTAGGCTGAAACCACACTGGCAGATCGAAGCTAACTGATTGTTGTCCATGCGACTATCGTAACCAATGGCTACATACGTTGGGTAATATGACTCAGAAATGGTAAAAGCTTAGCAAACTCATCCATATTCTGCCTCCATTTAAATCTAGAGTCTTCGAATTATATTGTCAATCCTTTCTACTACTATTAATATTCTTACTGCCTCTAAAACTCTGGTATCAGCAGGGTTGGTATGGTGTGGCAACCATAACTGATGTACATAATATATACCTCGTTACGCTTTAAACATGGTATGTCGTGACTGGTAAAAGTTGTTACAGTAAGAATAATGCTGAACATCAAGAAAATCAATCAACAATGATAGGGTTTACAGTATCAAGCTAACTTACTAAAAACAACGCTAACCAGAAAAAGTTCCAAAAGACAAGGAGCACAAATATACATCGAAAAAGTTGTCTGTTGAATCATGTCCACTTCTTATTCTTATCGATGGAAGTAACTCATGGAGCATCTATAAGATGAAGCAGACAGATGCACAGACAACTGGATTTGTACTTTAACGAGAAATGCAGTGATGGATGTCGTTTCTTTTCTGATCGCCTCTTTTCGTGTGTCGAACATATACTACTTATTTAAATTCAGTAGTTTAAGCTATTGTTATTCATTTTCAGAACCTAGTGCATATGACATTTCGTTGATACAATAAAATACCACTCGTAGCATTAACGATGTTTTAGTATATTTCCCTAGTTGCATTACCGTTTCCTCCTCCTTTTCAATATTTATCCTCCACTATTTTACGTACTTTTAATTGAAATTTTTTCTATTCGAAACAGTCTGGATACTTTGAACACAGAGCCTAATTACAATATCGTTGTTCATTGCTATTAACTTTTTGACACGGCTGGCTATAATTTTTTCATAGCGCATGATATCAAGTCACTTAAACTAATGGTCTCAATGCAACGTGGTAGACAGAATTCAATCTTAAGCAGTAAAAGGAACTTGACATACATGATACGAGTTGTATTGTCAATAAATGCGTGCGCGATTATTTGAAGGATGCACTTCTATGGTGAATGCATTTACTACCACCTGGATATCGACCCAATAATTAAAAGTTGGTAAGACAGAGCATCTAAAATGTTTTATCTGACAGCATAGTACTACAGACCTCGTCGAGCTATGTTTTGTGGTGTAGGAGTAGATTGGAAGAAAGCTAGGAGCGGCCAAACCAAAACATGGCACAAATCCATGAAGTCACTGACAAGTGGACTGAGTCGTGTTAGTAGTTGTAGACTACCTGTTTGGGGTCCGGGAGACGAAAGTGATCAACGGCTATAGACCGTGAATGACATGGCTAAAAATCGTTTGCAATGGCGAAGGTACATCCACTCTTCATGTTATCTCAAATTCTGATCTTCTGAATTCCTTATCACCTTTATCTTTCTCCTTTTAAGATTTCACTGAATTATACTTCTTGAATGATATCTTGAAATTCTAATCTTTTCGATTACTGCTGACACTTCTACTACCTCTAATATTATGGGATTTAAACTAACAAATGCATCTTTGAGCAGATAGGGTATGGCAACTTGAATTACCGTACGTACGTACCAAGTTCTACGTTGTAACTGACTGACTGATTGTACTATAGAAAACTTTTGTCTCGATAGTTGTATTAAAACCTTGTAGAAAGAATTCTATAACAACATAAACAATATAGTTCACAAATTTTTCGATTGCATTATATGCAAGTGACAAGAACGCCTCTAAAATAATTAAAGGCATCTTTCAAGTAAGTGAATAGTCAATGAGTAAATCTTTAAATGTAGCAAATGTTATAAATTAAAGAACAGTAGAAAGACCAATATAAAATAGTTGTTAGCGATTTCCATCTTACAATAGTGAAATCATTAAGTCAATCAGACAGCTACAACGTAGAACTTCGTGCGTACGTACCTACATCAGTTCAAGTTGGCATACTACATTAGCACACATACTTCTGGAATAATTATCTTCGATCATTCATCTTTTTGATTACTGCTGAATTGAAAATTCGATCTCTATATCTCAGAGGAATAAGTCAAAAAATAACAAACAGAAAAACGGTCATGAAGAATTCAAAAGATTGGAATTTGAGAAGGTAGACAAAGAATAGATGCATCTGAGCTATTGCAAACGATTTTGAGCCATATACAAAAACCTTTAGGCTATGATGATAAGAGTCCTAATGTAATTTTTCCGAAGTGAAGATCAGTCAATCAGACTGTTGTTCTAGTTATAAATAAATATGGTATAACTATACCTCTTACAATTCTGCCTGGAGCATCCCTTCCCAAGACCGTGGTTGGCGACCCCATCCCATAAAAAAACTAACTCACCAAAAAAATGCTAACCATAAAACATAATTCAAATAGCTCTTACAGTATTGTGAATTTATTAAACGGAAGTCAAACTTTTAACCTGTACGACTAGGATAGTTATTGATTCAACAACAACCTTATTAAGCTTAATTTACAACTAAATTAAGACTGAATAGTTTATTATTATTACTATTATTATTATTATTATTATTATTATCATTATTATTATTATTATATATTCACCTTGTAAATTTACTTACTTACCATACAATCAGGAAATTCAAATTGACCTAAATCTAAATGTCGTGAAATACAATTCAAATTACTGTTGGATTTTAATAATTTCATTAGAATTTGTTCATTTTTTTTATTATTATTATTAGTAGTAGTAGTAGTATCATTCACCATGAAATCATCATCTAATAAGAAATCATCCTGTTCATCAAAGATATCATCATTAACATGAACATTAGAATTGGTGTGTTTTGTTGAATTGATCTCAGTGGCTGTTGTTGTTGTTGTTGTAGTCTTTGTTTCACATGTTTTCATTAAACTACCAGATGGACACATGGAATAAAATAATTGACGATTAGCTAATAATTTACGTAATTCTTCTAAGATTGCATTAGCTGATCGTTTATGCTTTAATATAGAAAGATTATCAATCCATAGATTTAGTTTTGTCGCTCCACCACCTAACATGGATAAATGAATCGTATCATCAGAGGCAGCAGCATCAGCAGCATCAGTAGGACGACCATGTTGACAATCAGTAGTAGTAGTAGTAGTAGTAGTAGTAGTAGTAGTATTGGAATAATTATGATCAGTTAAAAATCCAGTATGTCGACCAACACTAATTAGACGAAGGACAACTTGTGTCAACGTTGCAATAATCTCAGATTTATGCAATTTTTCCGCTGATGGTAAACCAGCATTGAAACGTCCATCAATTAAATCTTTGACTAATGCATTATCAAACATTCCTGTGTCACCACTACCACCACTACTATTGACACTGTGATTATTATCGTTAGTACTATTTACAATGAGATCAATAAAACGTTGAGTATTATTTGCAGTCTGATACGAATGAATTGCTTGTAAACCAAATAGATAAGTGTATAATTCTTGAAATACTCTAATCAGTTGATTGCATGAATCCGTAATTAAATCCTCTTCGTTTTTGTCATCATCATTCATGTTCTTGTTGTTGTTGTTGTTGTTATTGCTATCATTGGCACCAGTAGTAAGAGCAGTATTTTCATTAGAATGTACAGTATTCCTTGGAGCAATCAATGTTAAATGTAAATATTGTGTCAAATGGTAATCATCATCATCATTATCACCATTATGATGATGATGATTGATCACTTTCATTGTTGATTCTTTAATAAATGAATCATCATCATCATCATCGTCATGATCTGATTCAATGTCTGTAGATCGTTCAATCACTTGACACTACAAAGTAAAAATTAAAACACAATAACAACAGTGACACTACGGAAAAACATTTTTAAGATGTGATTATAAGCAATGTTTTCAATAGATTATGCTGAAATTTCACTTATTGACATGGGTCATTTATTTGGGGCGTCTCACCAGTCCTGACAGTCTGGTGTCAGACGAAACTACAGCACGGATACAGAAGGCTCGATTGGCTTTTGCCAAGATGTGTCATTTATGGCGTAAACGAGATATCCGTTAGCCAACCAGAGGACAAGTCTACTGTGTAGTAGTTCACTTCGTCATACTTTATGGGTGTGAAACATGGCCAGTAAGAGTAGGGGATATTGGTAGGCTATTATTAGTAGTCGATCATGAGTGTCTTCGAAGCATTGCCGGTATATCCTGGGACAATGGAGTAAGCAATACTGCTAATAGGAGATATTACTAGGTAGTCAGTCAGTTAGTTTCGTACGTACGTACATAAGTTCAGGTTGCCATACCGTATTATCACAGAGACGCAACTGTCAGTTCAAATCTCATAGTGGTGGAGATAGTAGAAGTATTACCGGTAATGGAGAATATTAGGGATCGAAGATATTATTTAAGAAGTATAGTCCAGTGAAATAACTTTAGAAAGAGAAAGATGACGAGGAATCCTCAGGATTAAAATTTCAGAGAACACAAAGAGTAGATCCACCTGTGCTATTGCAAAACTAGGTAAGCATGGCAAATCAACAGATGAAGTAGTGAATCGTCAACAGTTGAAGTGATCAGGACAGGTGTTACGTATGCCTAACTACCGAATGCTTCGACGAGCGATGTCGACTGATGTAGGAGTAGGCTGGATGAAAGCTAGGGCGGTACAATCTAAAGCCGGCACAAGTGCATGAAGTCATTGACTATTAGAGTGACCAAAATTAGTCAATGTTGACTACAAGGTTAGGGTACGTACGTACGTACGTACGGAGTTGCAGCTGACTGATATATGCTGAAAGTATAGACTACTTCTGTGTATTTACAGTGTGAATGTTGAATATTAGGATTTAATATTCTTGAAAAATTTCATTTCGAGCATCTGAAGTTATCCGCAATTGTTGGCTATGAACATTTCCGGTTGGAAAACGCTTATATGGTGATTGATAGTCACTCATTGGAGTGAAAACTTTATTGAGAAGTACACTGTAATATGAAAAACTCATAAACTAAGCGAACAAATAAAAAAATTGATAGTGCTTGATAGGACAACAGTGTTTACTGTAAACGTCGTAGATAAATTCATTCGAAACATTTGAATTACTTAGGAATGTAGTAAGTAGTGTAACATAATATAACTAAAAGAATCAAGCTTAGAGGGAAGTCATCTATGTCTGATCGTAGCAACTCAGGTGAATATTACATATACTACGAACTTTTTCTCGGCGAATTCCATATCACAGATCACTTTCCGACGCTGAGGCTGGCTGTAATAAGCGCAGAGGCAGTCAGTTTAAGAAACGGTATCAAGGTAAAAACGAAAGCTATGTAAGACTGGCATATATTTATTCTTCAAGATCCTCTAGTTGAGGTCCGGGAGATGATGCAACTAGGTGGCGTGAGATGTTATCAAACATAGATTAGAATAATAGCCAGTTTGGAGTAGTAATTTCCTTTTAAGTAAAAGTGAGAGCAATTTCTTTCACCGTAACAATCCTTTCTGATTGCATCTTACTGAACAAAAACGCTTCTCTCACCATTCATTAGGTGTTGTTTCTTGTCACTATACTCACCTTCATTCTCTAATCTTTCTATAATCTTATTTTTCTATTGCGTGGTGCATATTTATTTTGGTGCCCGTCTGTACCAATATTGATATCTTTTTAAATAAATTGAGTAATGTACAAAACTATGGAAATGACAATTAGAAACTTTGCGGTGAATACAATGTGCAGCGATGGATCTCAAATAGCAGTTAGGCAAAAACAAGAATAATGATAGTATGCATACATTCAACTATTCGATATAGAAACAATTTAGTAGTCTGTCATTTGGGATCGAATCAAATTTCTTTTCCAGTAGTCAAAAAGTAGTAAGTTTTAAGTGACATTAGATTGCAATTCATAACTGAAAATTTCTCCTTACAAATGAGCGCTATGATAAGTAAAGGAAATTAATGAAAAAATGCCAGTGTTTGGGCTGACTATTGTGTATTCAAGGAACAGTTAAAGAGCATGACAATCGAAACAGAGTAGAAGTCAGTTGTAGCTTCAATCGCGAGTACAGTGACTATGTTTCTAACTATACTACTGATTGACCCATATTCATCTATCGGAGAGAGGACGTCTCTACAAGTCAGCCTGCTGTTGTAATATTTAACAGTCAGTCAGTTACAACGTAGAACTTCTTACGTAAGTACATCAGTTCAGGTTACCATACCGCATTAGCACACAGACGCAACCGTCAGTTCAAATACCAGAGTGGTAGAGATAGCAGAAGTAATAGAGAAGATTAGGGTACGAATATATCATTCAAGAAGTAAAATTCACTGAAATTGATTTCAGAAGAGAGAAAGAAAGGCTGTGCATGATTCAGAAGATTAGAAGTTGAGAGAATACAAAGAGTAGATGCACCTGCACCATTGCAAACCATTTTGAGCAATGTCATTCAAGCTCTCTAACCATTGGTGACTTTCGTCTAGCGGACCCCAACCAGGTAGCCTACATCTACCAACATGACACAGTCCACTTGTCAATGACTTCATGGACTTGTGCCATGTTTTGGTCTGGCCACCCCTAGTTAACAACCGTGAAGTTTCATACGATGTTGTTTTTTTCTATCACTGGCTAAGAAAAAGTAACTTTTACAAGCATTAAAATAGATCATGGAAAGCAGGAATAATACTATTCTCAATGAGAAAATCAAACGACCATAACATTGAAACCAACCTTCAACTTTGCCCAGCCAACATTTGGTCCCGATACACATGGTACCTTTTTAAGCCAAGGTTTAAATATATAATTCCAGATTTGATTGGCCAATTCAAGTATACGACTCTGTAAAGAAACGCAAAGATTAATATTTAGTCTAGAAAAGATTGATATCCTCCGATGATGTAAAATGTGTACCGTTATTGTTATGATATGGATATGAGTGTTGACAATTTGTCAAACAAATAAACTTCAAATGCAAACTCTAAGCGATAGTTAAACAAAGAAGTTGCCACAGAATCTAGTGACATTTTGTAGGAATTGTCTTCATTCATTCACTATAGTGTTTCAATCTGATCTAATCAATGTACAACGTGACCGACTGAGTACTTTCTTTAGACTATACTAAGGTTTCATTATCCAGGTGTTGTTAATATAGTACGGTGGAGCGTATTGACAATCTACATGAAATCTTAAAACGAACCTTCACTTAACCAGCCAGTAGTAACAAATGTATTAGTTATGTATCATACAATCAAATTTCATTTGATTGAACAATACTAGAGGATATGATAGACAGGTCTTCATTTACAAGAGTTTTGACATCTCATGATGAAAGCCGAGTTCTTTCGGAAGCCACGAGGTCGAAGCCCCTTCTGACAGCTAGCGTAACCATTACTATCGAAGAAAAACGAAAAACAAATTACGCCCAGAATTGGAAGCATACATGGAAAGAATGAACGCCAACCGCATAGAACTGGAAAGGAAGGCCCAAGACAGAGTAGGCTGGAGAATACTAGCCGGCGGCCTATGCTCCATTCGAGAGTAACAGGCTTACATAGTAAAAATAATCCTTACTTGTAACGGCTAAATTACCAAATAAAGATGAAATATTCCCGTCACATGTTAAGAAAATGATCAAAAGTGCCCAAAGGAAAAAAGTTCCGAGTTCCATGCATAGTTCAACGCAATAATTAACACAGAGATTATTAATTCGATACCTGAACACCGTTTAATTAACTACTAACCTTAGACTCTTTTAAAGCTTCAATAATACGTAACAACTGAGAAATCAATCCAGGTTTAGCCAGTATTTTGAGACTAGCTAAAATGGTGGATTGATTGTATGTTTGATTAGTTGGCATTTTATGATTAGAAACTTCATAAAACATTGAATCGGATGTATAATTCGATTGTCTTAAAGATTTACACATATCACTAGGTGATGGTATGTAAGCATCAAATAAACAACTAAAAAATTCATTCATTTGAATTTGTTCACGTGTTGAGGCATGGGTATTGGTCACATTGAATTTTGAAGAGATAGTTTTACGTTTTGAAGGAACTTCTAAGATGATCCATCGACGCCAAAGATCATCAACATGTTGAGTAAGACGATTCTGAAAATAATACAAGCAAAAACGTACAGTTTATGCAGTATTAATATATAGTTTAAAATATGTTCTGAAAGGTTGGAACCAAATAAAATATTCTCGGTATGCTTTAGAGCAGAGAGTATTTGTAACTTTAATGTCTCAATAAACTTCAGTCAGTCACCTACAACCGAGAAATGGTTACGTACGTACATCAGAGCAAGTTACCATACCTCATTAGCACAGAGACGCGAATGTCAGTTCAAATCACATAGTGGTAGAGATAGTAGAAGTATTAGCGGTAATGGAGAAGATTAGGGATCGAAGATATTACTGAAGAAGTATAGTTCAGTCAGATGACTTTAGAAAGAGAAAGATAGAGATGATGAGGAATTCAGAAGATTAGAATTTGAGAGAATACAGAGAGTGGATGCATCTGCGCCATTCTAAACGATTTTGAGCCATGTCGTTCAAGGTCTCTTAACTTACTAACCCCAACCTGGCAGTCTACACCTACTAACATGACTCAATGCAGGCGTCACTGACTTCAAGGATTTATACTGTTTTAGTATGACTGTCCGTAGCTTTCCTCCACCCTACTCCTGCACCACAAAACATGGCTCAACGGGTCAGTAGGTGGTTAGGCATTCGTAACACATGTCCCAAACACCTCAACTGATGAAGTTTCACTAGATCAACTCTTGATCTGCCGTCCTTACCTGGTACTCATTTTCTAACAACTACACTGCCTACTCGGTTGTCCCAGGATATACGACCAATGCTTCGAAGACAGCCATGACCGAACACTAGTAATCTACGAGTATCCTTAATTTTTGCTGACCATATTTCACACCCATACAGTAGGATACAGCAAACTGCTGCACAGTAGACTATTCCTTTAGTTATTAGACAGATATCTCTCAAAGAAACGTAAACCTGTGTAGTTTGTTCGGAAACAAATTTCAATCTATTTCGAGTATGAAATAACATACATAATGATGATAGCTAACGTCAAAGTTGAATAGTTGTTATTGTATCATGTAAGTATGTAACGGAAGTATTGGGAAGATTCTTTATCGTCATTATTATATAAAGCGACTAACGAGTGACCGAGTGTATATTATCACCGAATTGGATGCTTTAATGGTACACACCACACAAAGACTGGATCACGTTAAACCAGATACACGATTTACGACCAAAATAGGGAACCAGAATAAACAATATACAATATTTTATTCCACACAGGTACAAGCAGTCACACTCGGTGAGTTCAGAGTTGAAATTAATAAGAGGTAAGGAAACCATATATTTAAGCGTTCGCATGAGACCGAAGTTCCTGGGTTCGATTCCCGTGAGCGGAAACCATGGATGCGCATTACTGATGAATCCAATAATAGGACGAAATGGCCTCCTAGTGCTTCCAGATTTCTAATAGTGGTCTAACGCTGATCAATTTATTATATTTCAATGAAACTTAACAATTTCCATAACTCGAAAATGAAAAAACACTTAATAATCAGTTAGATATGTTTATTTGTCCACGTCCAGGTTATATTACGACATGAAAAATCTATTCGTCTGGCTAGGAGTCTTGTCTTTGATTTCTAATCATTCAAAGGCTTAATTCAATAATACAATCTATTGAGTAGCCATCAATCGTAGTACATCTATTGATTAGAATTCTATTTAAATTGACTTTAACAATCGAAAATTTCGTTGCATTAAATTATATGAAAAATTTCTCCGATAACAACAACAGCAACAATAGAAATTTTAAAATTTTGATTTATTCAATGATCAATTTCAAGTAATTAGTAGTTAGTAATGACAGACAGATACAACGCAGAACTTCGTACATAAGTACATCAGTTCAGGTTGCCATACCACATCAGCACATAGACGTAACTGTCAGTTCAAATCCAAGAGTGATAGCGATAGCAGAATTATTAGCAGCAATGGAGAAGATTAGGGAGCGAAGATATGATTCAAAAAGTATAATTCAGTGAGATAAATTTAGGAGAAAAATAGAGATTATGGGGAATTCAGAAGATTATAATTCGAGAGAACACAAAGAGTGGATGCACATGCGCTACTGCAAACGGTTTTGAGCAAAGTCATTCAGAGTCTCTAACCATCAGTGACTTTCGTCTCGCAGACCTCAACCAGGTAGCCTACATCTACCAACATGACTCAGTCCACTTGTCAGTGACTTCATGGATTTCTGCCATGTTTTGGTTTGGCCGCCCCTAACTTTCTTCCAACCTACTCCTACACCACAAAACAAAGCTCGTCGCGGCAGTCGGTGGTTAGCCATACGTAACACATGTCCCAACCACCTCAACTGATGAACTTTCACTACTTCATCTATTGATTTGCCATCCTTACCTAGAACTTGTTTCCTAACGACAGCATTGCTTATACGGTTGTCCCATGATACACGAGCAATGCTTCGGAGACACCGATGATCGAAGACTAGTAACCTACGAAAGTCCTCTACTCTTAACGGCCATGTTTTGCATCCGTATAGTAGGACGGAGCGAACTACTGCACGGTACACTCGTCCTTTGGTTAGCAAGCGGATATCTCGCCTGCGCCATAGGTGACACAGGTTGGCGAAAGCCAATCGAGCTTTCTGTATCCGAGTTGAGATAGTAATGAGCTTTTTTTTTATTGATGCAGTTTCGAAAAAACAGAAGTTGATCTAACAACGCCAAGTATGAAATCAACAAAAGATATGCTGTAGTGATGCGGTAACGAATTCTATATGATCAACATTGAATATACATATTTCCGATTATCAGATCATTTCAAATAGTTGTAGTGTGTACTTTTATGTCCAGCCCAAAGGGGTTTATTTCACCCTTTGGACAGTTGAATTAATCCACTCTTCTCGAATTAATATTCACACGTTTTTTGACCTTGTCAACTATTCGCTTATATCTTGATTGTTTTTATATGAGTGTGTATGTGTATGCTTACTTCGGTTATTACATGCCTAGACTAGTTTTGCCTGACTATCAACACTTAGTGATGCCTCATCGGATTGGGTTGGCTAACTCGCATTATCCAGTTCACTTCACTTTCTTACGTTAGGCAGTTACGCTCTGCATTCTATTGTTTGTCTACATAAATAAATGCATAAAACAAATTCATCCACAAAACCGTTTTGAGCTTTTAGTCACCGCCATCAGTCAGTCAGGCAGTCAGTTACAACGTAGAACTTCGTACATGAGTACATAAGTTCAGGTTGCCGTCAAGTAACATAATTAAGAAGCCTAGTACCTAAAGAAAAGCCAACGAGTATGATACATTCATGGGTTATGTTAAGATTTCGCAACGTCGACTTCAGTACGGTGAATAAGACTACATCTATCCTCTTCTTTCTTGCCCAGTTTACTGGAATAGAAATATCAGTTTACTAATAGAAGTATTTTGAAGATGAACATAGTATATCAATTCAAAGATGAAATCTCATTAATCAGTTATATATCGATCATAATGAATAGGAGTTCCAAGCATTAGCGGCGCGAAGTGATAAAAGTGTATGAGAAGGGTTTGATTGTGAACAATTTGATTTCGTGTGCTATTACAGATATGAAGGCGGATGTCGATTTCCGGCTGCCCATACCGTGGAAGAGTGTTTTTTGAGGAACCTGACAAAGAAACTAGATTATCATTGGTCTTAGAGACCTGGAAGCATGACCGCAGAGCCCAACGGACAACTGCTTGAAGCCGGTCACATACGGCATTTTTATGAGAAGTTTATGAAGTGTTAGCTCCGCTATTGTTTAAAAGGCCTTACTGTCTGAGACAGAAGTCCATGAGGTAAGGTGAGGTGTGACATTTTTAGGGTCGACCTTTTCTAACCCCTTACTTCCTTCCTTGTGAGAAGGCAGCATTGCTGTAGATGCTGGTTGTCCGGGGGAAACAACTTATTGCTGTCACACCCCTCTACAGTCAGCAACACGACTTCGCCTTCAGTAGTTGCTTTTAGTCTCACCGTTTACCAGTCGACCTGCCTAGTATGGCAGGATCTTCAGGAACTTATGTTCCAGCCAATATAGCCCGGTTGGGGTCATCACGATAGGCAGGCCCGACCAGCATGTCAAGGTAGCAGCTACGGTCAGGATGAGTTTTTTGTCACTAAATAGAAACTACGGTAAAACGTTACGCTACGTTTGTGAGATTCTACACTGAATAATAATATATGCGTAACCTAATGTCAAGGCATATATATATATATATATATATATATATATATATATATATATATATAAAGAACAATCATAATACCTTGCAGCGTGTAAATGTTTGTTGATAGCTTTGAAAAACAAGTACTGCATCTTTACTAAACTTTTTATGTTTAGCAAATAAATGTTCAGATTCTTCAAGTGAATCTATCACAGTATCGACACATAACCTAAAAGTAAGATTGTTTTGAAAGAAAAAAAAGAATGAAGATTTCATAACAGTGAACATACAAACATATGGTAGAATGATGCAAAAGGCACATAAAATAGTGAATCTATTTGACAGTGAGTTTAGATGAAATGCTGACTAGCTCAAAGAAGTTACACTACACAAGGAAATTTTTGATTGCTGATCTGGGATATGTTGCTAAATGTAAATTATTTGGTTAGGGTTATGTAGGAATAACGTGACCGATCATAGACCATTTTAGAATGCGACAGTTCAAATTAAGTAACGATGGCACAGATTCATTCACTTTTAGTCTTTCTTTTGATTATGAATTTCGAAGTAATATATAATATATTTCATTATCGTGAATGAATTCGTTCTTTCTCGAAAATGGGATATACCCAAAATAGTAAGAAAGTAAACAATGATCAGTTAGCTTATATTTTGTACAAGTTTACATTTTAATATTCATTCCTATGGCTGTTGTATATAGGAATTTGTATCCTGTGAATTTACTACAGAAAGAGAGGTCTATTACTCGCTTGTATCGGCACCTGGACTAGTGATAGGAGGTGAGGCAGTTGAGCATGTTGACCGCTTTACTTATCTTGGGAGTCTCATCTGTGCTGAAGACCTAGTGACTGACGAAATCTCAGCACCGATACAGTAGGCTCGATTGGCTTTTGCCAACCTTCGTCGCTTATGGAGTAGGCGAGATATCAGTTTGATGACTAAAAAACGAGTATGCTGAGAAGTAGTCCGCTCCGTCCTACTATAAGGATACAAAACATTGCCAGTAAGAGTAGAAGATATTCGTAGGTTATTTGTTTTCGATCATAGTTGTCTCCAAAGCATTGCTCGTGTATCATGGGACAACTAGGTAAGGATGGCAAATCAATAGATGAAGTATTGAAACTTCATTAGTGAAGCTGGTTGGGACATGTATTACGTATGCCTAATCACCGACTGCCTGATCGAGCTATATTCTGCGGTGTAGAAATAGGTTGGAAGAAATCTAGGGGCAGCCAAGCCAAAACATAGCAGAAATCCATGAAGTCACTGACTAGTGGACTTGGTCATGTCAGTAGGTGTCAACCACCTGGTTGGGGTCCGTGAGATGATAGTAATCGATGGTTAGAGACTCCGAATGACTTTGCTCAAAACCGTTTGCGATGGCGTAGGTGCATCCACTCTTTGTGTTCTCTCAAATCCTAAACTTTTTAATTCTTCATCACTTTATATTTCTAAGTTTATTTCACTAGATTCTACTTCTTGAATAATATCTTTAAACTCTAATCTCTCCAATTTCTGCTAATACCTTTACTAACTCTACTACCATGGGATTTGAAGTGACAATTACATCTCTGTGCTAATGTGGTATGGCAACTTGAACTGATGTACGTACGTACGTACGAAGTTGTAAGTTGCTGTTGCTTGATTGATTGGATCTATCAGTCGGTATTATTATTTGTTCAGTTAATAAAAACCCATTACTGATTTGATGAGTATAAAAGGATGCATTTTCAATAGTTGATTTTTACGAGAGAGAGTTCATGAAATACACACCACGTATAAAAACAATTACTAACCGATAGGTTTCCTCATCTATATCCATACACTTATCATCAAGTTCTGAATCACCTATTGAATCTTCTGGTAATTTTTCATCTAAGTCTTCCCATTTTTTCTTTTCATCATCAACAACAGAACGACGTGAACATTGGTGTAACAATTGATTGACTGAAGACTCCAAGTTATTTAGGGCCTGGTGCAATTCCAGCAGATAGGAACAGTTTTCATGCATATCCAAGAGTTCTTGAAGTTGTGATACAGCATTTTGGTGTATTGTAGATAATGAGGATACTCGGTTGTCTGCCTCATTTAGATTAAAATGAGCAGACTTTAGTTGAGGTATAACCTAAAGAAAAGAGTTCGAGATATTCATAATAAGAATAAAGAATCAGTGGTTAGTGACAAATATAAGAGATTCTGTAATTGTTTGTTATATAAGCAAACAGACACTCGGGGCAATAAATAAGAAAGGAAATTAAGTACACTGATTCTTGAAACTCAAAGTTTCGACTCAATTTATACGATGTAGACTTACTTATCTAAATAAACTTTATTAACTAGCATTATTTTCCGAAATAAGCTACCAATTTGGTTTCGATCGAGACTGATAAATATTCTTAACAAACTCAACAAACCTACAGAAAACGAAAGATATTATAATTAACTTAAATACCAGCTACAGATTAGTGCACTTGATTTTGAGCCATAGTTTATGTAAACCTGTTAGTGAAACTAGTCAGTCAGTGAAAATTCCCGATCACTCAAACCGATAAAGAAGAAGTGGGGGTCGAGCCAACAACTTCGTGGCTTGCAGACAAACACATCAACCACCAAGCCGCCAATGCACTGAACATGAAGAACGCCTAAATATGTATATACCTGATTTAAGAACGTCAGTAAAGTTATACATAGACACAAACAACAAAAACTAGAATTCCCAATCAAAGTAACACTACCGGAGAATTGTTGATATAATGCTTTTGAGATGTACTATTATGATATTTCGGCTAAGCTTTTTCAACTTACAACTTCAAAACAAAAATAGTCGAAGGAATTTTCAACAAGGAAAATAAGGCGAGTAAACTTTTTATATAAGCAGAAAGCTTAGAAAATATTAAACCTATTCACTGAATACGAGCTAAGTATAATACCTGAATAACCAAACCGATAAGTAGGGCACGGTTTGGACCTCTAACTTGATGGCCCTAGGTCAGACGCCTTAATTAATAAACTAAGACAGCATCGAGAAAAGCTAAGTAACTGTTGATGTTAAAACCACCACTAAAAAATCAAATGCTTTCTAGACATAAACAACTTACGGGCAAAAACCTCGATCCAAAAACACGTTAGAACTCAATGATTTATTATGTTCACATATGTGATCAGGATAGCATAGACGGATAGGCAAATAACGTAAAGCTGTGACATCTACCTTACAAAAGTAGTGTCTCGTTTCCGAAAGTGCTTAGCTAGGTACCCGAAAGTGGCAAAACAACGTTAGACATGTAATCCTCTAAATCTGATAGCAATTGTTGAATATTGATTTATATTTGCTGAACTTAGTATTACGGAGTGATTTCCCACCAACAGATGAGTGTGCTTACAAAAACAACCATTAAGATAATTAGTTTCCGCGGCCAAAAATTGATACGTACAAATAAATCGTCACACGTAATATTTGCATCAATTTCCACGATTCGAATTTCAACCATCTTAGGACTCACAATGATCCGTTGTATTACATAACAAAAACGAGACTTCAATTTATGAACGAAATAGTGAGATTAGAGATAGCGAGACGTACGTCTGAGAGCGATACGCATTTATCCACATGATTAAAAAACGTTTTAGTATTTCAGCTGTCCGGTCGTGATGAAAATGCAAATTTTAATTCTTATCCGTAACTCATAACTCTAAATCTCAATCTTATTCCCCTACACACGTTTAAAATACTATTTTGATTCAGTGAAGTGGACTTTCCCAAAGTTACTTATGGCCATTGCTCGAATGTCATCTATAAATTATAGTCTTAACAAAGCATTGGATAATGGAATCTTTAGGTTTTAACGATACAAAATGATCCAGTTTTTTTCCGACGTAACTGTTTTAGGTGCAACAACTAATCCCTAGGACGGTTAGTGACCTTCAGAAAACTTCGCACAGCCTGAGAAATGTCAAACTCGCAAGAGGAAAGCCTAAAACTAAGGGCTTGTACTCGCCTACTGAGTCCATATGTTCTCGAAAGGAAGCATTAAATGCCAAACTAAAAAAACATGTATAAACCAGTTCAAATATGCAGTAAAAACTAACCTTTTCTCTTGCTGTCTCATATATATCTTGAGCTCTTAGCTTCAATATTTCGAATTCGGACACTAACTCAAGAAACTCTCTCTGAACTGGTCGAAAATTATGATGGTTCTGCAAATAAGTAACCAGTTTCGACTTGGCACTGAGTAACTCCAACTTCAAAGACGAAACATCACAAGCCATACCAACTCAATGCACTGGCGTTCGTTAGTTTGCGTCTTTACTGGTTATAAATGAGGAATAGTACTAGATGGCCTGAAGTTAGGATAGGAAAAATAGTGGGCTGCTGACTCCGAAAGTAAATCCTCAATAATTAGGAAAACAGGCGTGAAACTCAGCAGTTGAAAACACCACCTTACTCGACCTTGACTATATCAGGATGACCTTGGAATTTTTGCAGTCTCTGGCTAAACCAGGCGCCTTTTCCTTCAAACCCCAAACATTACTTGCCCGAGTTAATGCACTATTTGACTAGTGTGACTTAAAAGAAAATTCATATGGTAATAGTAAGATTTCGGAACTAAGTCACTCAAAGAGAATAATCTCAAGTGCACGAGTCTTTCTGTACAAGGCTTGTTCTTCAACATTATCACCTATTTTGTTCCTCATCCCTACATTCGATCCACGAAACTTCAAGTTGTGGGCCTGCGTATGCTTGTATGCATGAATGCAGATAACATTACACCTTGTCTGGTACAGTTTTAAACCGTCTTTCACTACTTACTACTCAACAGATGTTAGGTCTTTTTGAAGCTAATCGAATACTTTTCGGTTTTTATGAATTTCCATATCTTTGGATCTTCTGCGTAGATCAATACCACGGAGCTAACTTTGACCAAATGATCACTAATGGATATCAGATAGAGGATGATCCTCGGTGAAACTCCTGACGTCGAAACTCGCCAACCCGCGTAGACTCTATTTACCTTGGTGCGAAACTCGATTTGCAAGGTAGTTTCTTGGTCAAGATAGAAGTGGGTAAATGATGCCCATTTCCGTAATCTTCCCAATTAGGAGTGCATGTAGTACTGTGTCGAGGGCTTTTGCAAGGTCAATAAATATTATGTGAACCTGTATTTTTCGGTCCCTGTGGGTTGGTTAGCTGTCCCACTCTGTGAGAAGATTGGCTGCACACAACCTTCCTTTCCTAAACCTTTGTTGAGCTTCAATGGAGGATTTTGTTCTTATCCATGTTCTTCCCCATTTTTTGGTTCACCGGTCCTTCCATTACCTTGATAGTATTGGTAGTAAGAAAACTAGTCTGTAACAGGCTGGAACCTTCCTATCTCCTCCTTCGAAGATTGGAGAAAGAGTAGCTTATTTCCATTCAACTGGGAGTTAGGTTGACTCGAGTGAATGTCTGAACAGGACTTATGCTAGCGAACTGAATGCTTTTGCACACTGTTTCAAGACTATAGGGCTAATATCGTCGCATCCACCTCCATACTGCGGCTCTGAATACATGCTCAGTCAATCCTGAACTTTTAATGGCTATCCTTAGTCATCTTTCAGATCGACCTCTGAGATTTACACCCTGTTTTTGAGCTTTGGAGCCGGAGTATTGCAACTTTCAGCTAATAGGATCTGATAAAACCCAAGGATTGGCAGTCGCATAATTGATTCAATCAATTTATGTTTCCTGGGCTTCATACTAGAGGGCAGGTAAATCCCTCCAATTAAGTATTTCGTACCATTTATGCTTCTGCAACACCAGCATGATACTGTCACGTAGGCTAGTTCTTCGCCGTACAGTGTTTTGATTTTGAAATGACTGTTAACATATATTGACACCAATATCAGGGAATAGCCGTGTCGGTCATCTATGATGTTGACGAAGTTGGCTAAACCACTCAACGTTCAGTGATTAGTCGTGTTAAGAATGAATGTGGCCAGTTTAACTAATAACTTAGTGCTTCATGACGCCTCATTGGGATTGTTAACCTTACTCATGGAACATTCAGAAGGGTAAGTCTAGCTGCCATACCAGAGATGATATGACAGTTATAATTCCACCTAACTAAGAAGTAATCAAAAGAAAATTGGTCGCCCATTTGAATTTTGGGTCGGCACAGTAATTGATAAATCTAAACCGTTCATTACCAACTATTTACGAAAACTTTTTTTTCCTTCTATCCTTTCAGGTGAGAGTTGATGTCAAATAAACGATTGTGTTTAAGACCATTTACGTTAAGTAAAACATCAGCTCATAACATCGGACGTTTTTCTTCTTAGGATTTCCACAACTAGTTAACCAATGTCGAGTTTGAAAACGCTCTCACACTCGTATATAGGTTACTAAACTCATATTCCAATTCACTGATTTCAAACACTAAATATATCAATGGTATTTTGGAGCGCATGCGGCATAGTAGTATTCCGAGAGAATGGGAATGTATTTGTGATGTGCTTCAGTCACTGAGGGAAATGGTTATATGTCGAGCCTTTCTATGGACAGTTTATATTTACTCAACTTGTCAGACTAACAAACTTCGGTAGGTATTAAATAACAAAAACTTAATCTAACAGTTTGCCACTGATTCAGCTGGTCGTAACACATATCCTTGGTGAAACGTACTTCGATATGCATGCTTTATGTGGACAAAAGCTCCAAGGCATTGCAATACTATTAGAATATTCTAAAGATATAGTGTGTGGTGTATATGATACATACACATTTATTATGAACTCAGAGGTGTCTGAAATTTCTGCTTTAAATTCCGCATTCATTCACGTTGACAAAATACTACTACTAGCGAGCATTTTTAGGAAGGCTAGCGTTAACCTTACGAAATATTTGCTGTAGTTTTGACATGTCAATCTTTAAAAACTCTTGGACCTGATATATAAGCTCAACTCATTATAATCCACTATAGTCAAATTTATCCAAAAGTATGAACACCGACAGGCGTTTGTTAGAGGACGTTTTCCACGGGCCTTTAAATACATAAGAGATAAGTGGGTTGACCGCAATACAGTTTCGGAATCCGAAGCCTTGACAAACACACAAGTATTAGCGTGGAGCGTGCCCATACATACTGAAAGGAATCCTATAAAAGAGGCAACCCTCTTCTACTGAGGTCGGGGAAGATCTGAAGTAAGATGGACATCAATCAACGTTTGCATCCATATGACGTAATAAAGGGTTTGCAACGTTATAAACAGACTCAGGTAAGAAATTTAGTTAAATCTAGCAGCAGTTTGAGGTTCCAAGGTTTCCTAAACAGCATTTGAACGGGCTCACAACTTTCAGGGCTAGGACTGTAGCCATTAATTTAGAAGCGTTATGAGAATTTGACGCAAAATAACAGTAGAAGAGAACTTCCGCTGTTACAACAAAAGAATAATGTATATGTTTGTTACTTCGCGTGCACACTGTGGCCATCGGTGTTGCCCTGGCTACGAGTTGTCATATGGCTATGCTATGCACGTAAATGCAAAAGATCTCATTCCCGAAGGCATCAGATCACTTTTTGATCAGTATGACCGCCATAGACTTATCTCAATATAACAGCTGTTGGACACGGAAGAATATGATGGACTTGTTTCTCCGAGTGACGGACAGGATGTCAAGTTCCAAGGAGATTATATATCTGAAAAGGTTCACTTTTAATCACAATTAAGTCCATTTTCTATTTGAATCTCGCGTCAATAATCTCATCCCTTCATGGCCCAGAACATATGAAGACCTTTGTACAAAATTTATGGGTATTATATGAAAAGCTACATATATATAATCAAAACAGAGTTTTGATTAAGGAATGACTGTTCAGAACGTTTAGATACGCGCCTTTTCCAGTCAAAATTCAAAAACAGAGATCTGGGTAAGGAACGGTTCTATTATTAATCATAAGTACAAATATATCATTACCTAAACAATATTACAACAGTCACTCTTGCGATAATAACACAAAGTGTTTCCGATTCTGACAGGGGCTCCAAATTTTGATCCAGATTGCACCCTTCCAGTCCAGACAAACGTACCACCCACCAGAAGATCAAATTAATGGCTGTCGCCATAATTAAGTATCAACTTAAATAACATGCAGTTCGGAAAGAAACATAGAAACTCAGAAAAGGTACAAAAAATAAAAACCACAACAAAATACAAATATTAACATCCTAAAATTGGATTAAACCGAACCACCAAAATGTAGAACAGAAAGAGCCAATAAGGACACAAATGTATACATGGGGAGTTTTCCCAAACAAAGACTCCAGAAAAGGATTCTGCGACATATTCAGAATTTTCTAGTTCCGTTGACCATAGTTAAACTTCTGAAGGATAAGACATTTGAATTTGTAGCGCCTCCACATATATTCCAGTTCGCTCATATTTAATTTGATTGAGCCTTTTGATTAACTTATGTAACCCATTTTGTAGTGTGTCGATTTACTGCGTGTTCTTAAGCTCGGTAATTAACTCGTTCAGACAATCGTTGCCAAATAACGTCTGACGGTTGATAAATCAGAAGATGAACACAAAGTGATGAATACGTTTATTCGGGACACACCACAAAGCGAAGCGGAGAAGCAGTGAATAAAACAAATGAATCGACGTGAACTGGAGAAGGCTTTTGAGCCAACTCCTTGGATTACAATGCGAACGAATGGGCGAAGCGAATCGGAGAAGGCTAAGCGCCAACTCAAAGAAATAGAGCATGACTAAGAATATATAGTCAGACAAAAATAAGACAGACATATGACAAGCGAAATAGGCGTGCACACACATGAATAAAAGCGACGAATGGTTGACAAGGTCAAATGACAAGTGGGACATGTTACGTGAGCTCATACAAACCAGACAATAATAAGAACGAATGGTACAATACAAATGGCTTGGATAAATAAATTAATCGAAAGGGCTTAACCAAGTTAGCGAACTGGAATATATGTGGAGGCACTACAGGCTTACATACTAGCTGTTTCATTCTGATATAGTTCTGCCTGCGAGTTTCTAAATGATTTCACTCCGGTACAGAAACAGCTCGAAGAGCTTCAGGTCACTTACATTTCTCCATGTAGGTGTTCCTTTGTTATCTCCTGGTTTGGATATATGTTGGCAACCATAAATTCAATATTCCATTGTGTAATTCAAGTTCCAGTAAATTCAGTAATAAGGCAGCTACCATGATTACAACCGTAAATAAATTCATAAGTAGCCTTTCAAATTATATCACAATAATTCTAACTTCTGATAATGTATAGCGTAGAAATAGGAGAGAGACACAAAAACCTGTCTCAACGCTACTGTAACGCTACCTTGAACAATGGCACAAAGTAATAGTCACCTCCTGGTAAAAAGTAACTCTTACTGACAGCAACTTAAGCGTGACGTTTTCTATTTGTATAGCTCCACGTTGTTCATCGTCTCCGTGCTGTATTGCTCTTTTAGCGTTTTTTTTTATTTGAGCTTGTTGGATAATTTGAAAGTCACTTTTAAACATGTGGATTATCTGCATAAACAGGGATCATTTTAAGCAGTGGAGAGAATATTGTAAAAACCGAACGCTTGGGCCGTTGAGAGAAGTGCAGTGAATTATTACCCTAGATTAAAAATCATATTGCTCTTGGTAACCAAATGGAAAGCACTCTGTACTTAGCTGAAGACATTACACCACACTATGTCACCTATATTTATAAGTTACATGATCTACTGAATGAGTTAACTTAGGTTCATTAAATTTCAAAATTTTAAGTTTCTGATTCATGTTCAACTTAACATATACATATAGGTTGTTTGCAATGAAAGTGTTAGCCACCATCAGTGTCCATGTTTACTAAAATACTGCTAGCTTGATCTGTGCAGAATTCATCAAGTGGTTAGTTCTTCCACGTATCGGAAAGGATTTTTTGATCACAGTTCATAAAATTCAGGAATAAGGAACCTTATTACAGCTATGTAGTTAATGAGGTTCATCAAATCTCTCTACAATCAAATAAAATTTATTAAGCCCTATACTTCTGTTTCATTGGTTAGCTTATCAGTGATGATGTAACTGGTAAGTGACAGAATAACACTGACAACAAAGAATGTTTTTCTACTTTAAACCTATGTCAGTCGTTGATACGTTTATTATTTTACTGTCCGCTTACTAGCTTGAGGACAATAAATTCGTGTTATTGACATGAAAAACTGTGAATAAACAGAATGACTGCTACTTTCAGCAGTGGAAAATCCTAGAAAGTTTGAGACGTTAAGTGACATGTTCCTGACACCTGCCCAAGTTATAGCATACGTACACCCTGTTGAAAAGGACATAGTGAGGAACGATGTATTCCAAAGTTGGAAAACTGGTTAAGTGGCTACCAAGTGTCAAATCTGCTTGCTAACTGGTTTAGATTAACTTTGTTTCTCGAGAACAACCTTCTAGTTTAAATCAGTCCATTGACAAATCGAAGATATTGAATTTGGTTGGCTATCAGTTTCTTCACATCGAGCTTGATTAGGTTATCATTCTTTGCTAACGTAACATACCTCGTTTTAGGGTTTCTTCTCAGGTTATTCGGTGGTCTTGTCTAGAAAAAGTTCCCTTTCCTTATCATAAACATTAGAAGCAAAAACTTCGTCTGGAACCTTCAAATAAGATTCGGTGTTTCACTTACTTCAGTAGGTTCTGAGAGTGAATAATCAAAATACAACTACGTGGTAATCGTGAAAAAATTTCACACCAAACAATGAATAAGCAAATTAGTGCACACTTTTTCCCATAAAGAGTTGTTGCAACTTGGAATGCTGTCATTAGCCCAGCTGACCACGGCCCACTCTGTGGAGAGCTTCAAGAAGAGACTTAACAATCACGTACCCACACACGGTTTATAATCTCCCCTTTGGACCAGCTGTAACTCATGCATATTTCGAGACTTTCTAATTGTCATTATTGCCATTCCCTCAGGTAGGTAACTTAATTTATATACCTTATTATCCGTTTACTTTCCGTCACTGCCACTTCAGTCCTTTCGTACAATCTTCATTGCCAATTAATTAGCCTAATAATCCATCTACTACTTAGTTCCGAAATCTTATTATTACCATGTGAATTTTCTTTTTATTATTCTCCACACTGCAACTAACTGATCTCCAGTGTGGTAACGTAATAGATACTGGTATCTAGAAAGCCTGCCGCCTTGAAACAAACGTTATTCAAATCACGGGGCATAACAATTCACAAACAACTGCCAACTGACTAGAATGAGTGCAGTTGAGTGGCTAGACTACTGTTGATTGGACACTACCAAATACCTGAAACAGTACCGAAAGAACAAGAATCGAACACAGCGCCATTAACTGGTTTATGCTAGCTAGTGAAAAACACACGGGGTTAAATTTAACTGGGAAATTATCAGCTGATTTGACTTTGACCCCAGTCTACGTAACTAGTCCCATTCATCCCTTATAGTTCAATAATCACAATTTCAAGTGGTTATAAATAGTTGCGATTTCGTCGTAAATAGTCTACTCATATTTATTGTTTTCAGAATGACTAAGATAATCAAATCGTCAACGTCATTAGTTTTGACACTTTGAGATTACTGTGATAAATTAATCTAGCCAAAACTCTAGATCAATTTTGCTAAAATAATAAAAGGTAGAGTATGCAAAGTTCTACCAATAATCTCAACGCCGTTCATTCGCTTTTTATGCCTTTTTATCGGCGGGAGAACACGGCCTAAAGTTTTCAATAAAATTAATTTCATCAACCAGGTATTACACCACTTGACCATTCTTTACGAAAGACTAAACTAGCGGTGCAGAAATCAGTTCCCAATATACTTCTATGTAAATGCCTCAATGAATAACATAAATATTGTGCAACTAAATTGACGAGTGTGATGAAAAGACAACAGAGACTGTAACTCAAAAATTCAACCGTCATTAATTCAGAGTGAAAAGTTAAAATTTCTGGACAAAAATCGAAAGGAAGAATGATCGTTGAGTTCTTGCTTAGTTTTTGGTACCTCCCCACAATAAGCTATTTTGCAGATTTTCTCCATTGATACTGATCTCGCTGATTTAAATGAACAATGCTATCTGGAGGCACTCGATAGAAACATTATAAATCATTCAGTTTAGCCAATTTAAGATGATTCTGTAGTGACTTCACTTTTACGAAGGAAATGCGATTGGTCAAATAGAAACATTCTTAACAATAACCAATTGTACCAGTGGTTGTTTTACTGAACTTCTTGTTTATTCGTACTTCTTCCATCTTGCCCTCGTCGCTCCGCATATTTCCGTCCATTTCTCTGGTACGGTTTCGGTATTCTTTCGATACCACGAAATCGTCAGCAAATATAATCCTTCATCTGGACTATCGCTTCTTTTCTGTTTTTAGTTCACGACTGGACAATGCGTTAAGACTAGAACGTAATTGATTTGTAGTGGTGTTCATAGTCAACCTCGACGCGAACCACTACACCTCATCTATCCTCTATAGTTAGTTCAGTAGTCTCATATCACTGCCTAATGTAAAATGAATTGTTCTTTTCAACCCTTATCATCTTACTTGCTTGCCTATCCTTCTACAGAACATTGATCAAACTAAGGATACTCATAAAAGTACCATTCAATGTATCATTGAATTCATTTCTACTTAAATTTTAATAAAAAAACACCAATCATTCTCTTATCGTAAACAAAACATGGGGTTATCTTTAAAAAGATAAAAATATTTACGATAAACAATTCAAGAAGACACGATAAAATTAGTTTCTATCCATATCAAATACACAATAGAAGACCTACTTTAATACGAAAGACAAAATGTTTGATAATGATTATTATATATGTATACATATATATATATACAATAGTGTTAGTGGCTCAAAAAAGCCAATTCCTGTATGTTTCAAGTTCTCAAGGTTTTCTTTTTCGTATGTCGACCATGCTATGAAAAGTCTCTCATCACTTTTACTAAAATGAAAAAAAAATATCCAATTAGATGAAAAGTAGTTCAGATGATGTTGTTCACACAATATCTGTCTACGTATACATGGCGATAGTTTAGAAATATTACCGAAAGAAACTTCTTCGTTGGCTGTATAAGTAATACAGTTTCTATATTTACGTAAGACTATTTAGTCAATTCACCATTACAACTATGTTGAAATTCTATTAAGCATACAATTTGCAATATGACGCAACCATTTTTCAATGCCTTGAATAGGTAACTATGCACCACATGATCAATGATCGCGAACTTTCACTGGAACGCCCGGAATCACATTACAAAACTATACAATAGTAGTAATCTCATGATTAATATTAGTCTTTGGGCATTTGAAGATTGTTAAATTGTATAGTTATATACCACGTAACAAAAAAGTTAGACAACTATTGGAAAGTTATTTCACCTTAGTATGAGACACCACAGCAATCCACATTGACAACCTCACTAAGGATCAAATCCAGACCTCGCAAGTCTCACGATGAGCAAGACAAACATTAGATGATCAAAGTGTTATAGTCAATTGTCTGCAGTAAAAATTATTTAAATTGCCGTTAAAAGCTATATTTGTTAGTCCTACATGGTGTACAAAACGTACCACACAGTTGTGTGTAGTGAAAATAGAGTAACATTAAGAGATCATCATAGACCATACCCATGGAACTGTACACACACTAACTTGGAAGATTCCCAAACGCCATTAAACACTTGATGAAGAGTAAAAGTCAACATGAGGAAAATGATCAAGAATGCATAAGCTCAGTAATGCCGGTATGCTTTTCCCCCTTTATATTAACGATATAATTTTTTATTACCAGCATGAGGTAAGGATGACAGATCAGTTGATGAAAAAGTCAATCAACATCAGTTGAAACATGTGTTACGTATGTCAAACCGCCAACTGCCACGACGAGCTATGTTTGGTGATGTAGGAGTAGGTTGGAAGAAATCTAAAGGTGGTCAAACCAAAACATGGCACAAATCCATGAAGTCATTGACAAGTGGACTGTGCTATGTTAATAGGTGTAGACTTCCTACCTACCAGTCTGTGAGACAATTGTAACCAATAGGTTGATACTTTGAACAACATGGCTTAAAATCGTTTGTAATGGCACAAGATCATCTTAATTTTCTGGATTCCTCAACACATTCATGTTTCGCTTCGCAAATTTATTTCACTGAATTATACTTCTTGAATAATACCCTCAAACCCTAATCTTCCCGATTACTGTTCATACTTCTACTACATCTACCACTATAGGATTTGAATCGACAATTCGATCACTATGTCCAAATGTGGTATAGCAACTTAAACTGATGTATGTATGTACATATAAAGTTCTGCGTTGTTGCTGAATGGCTAGCATAAATGTATACTTCGAAATCTTTTAGGAAACAATACCGTTAACTGCTACGATAGGATAGCCAGTATAGACAATGTAGTGACTTCAGCGTAAGCTTGTGACTTATCATAGCAAATTTACAATCATACACTAGGTCTAGTATTGTATTAGTGTTATGACTTGTCAACTGATATGCTTGTCACTATTACAAGTTCACCTTAGTTGGTAAACGAGAGCTAAAACTAGTGATCCATTGACACGATAAGCTACTCTAATCCGAGCGTCTCAAGCTCCCATTAACCGTATCAAATAGTCTTGATATGGCGTAGAAAGTGTATTCTACAACCACCAAGAAAATATGAGGTTTTGTGCAGAAGAAGGAGAGGAGCATAAAACTCTATAGACAATGCACATTTATACAGTTAGGTCGACCGTCAATACTAACCCTAATAGGAAACAACATTTAAAAAAGTATGTGAACTTGATAGTTAAAGAAGACGACCTTAAATATTGACTAATAGAATTAGATTTACAAAATAATTTCTTTAGGATGAATATCTTAACAATTAGCATACAATTACTAATTTTACACTTACATCCAAAAAGTTCACCCAATTTAGTATAGACAAAAAAAAACATTATCTGATGATTACATTATAGTAATGAGTAATACACTAACTACTAATAGTAAGTCTATGTGCTTAAACAATATACAAATTGAATATAACACTAACAACATAAACTCAAATAAATTTGAATATCAAATTAATTCTATACAACCTATTCAAATCATAGACGCTATACAAAAACCCATAATTCGTCATCTGGCACCTATGACACAACCAAACCAACACACCAGAATATACCAGTAACACAACAAGTCACTAAATACATTAAAACATAAACATCTAGCTCTACTTAGCCAAAAAACCACCAATAACACATTCATGAATAACTTATAATTGACAAGTAATTTGATCAATGTTCAATGATTTTTGTTTGTTTGTTTGTTTGTTTGCACTAACCTCTTTCTTGTTTGATTACACTGTCATCTGTTAATACTTTTTCTTCTTTTTCTTCTTTTTTTGACAATTTTCTAAATCAATCGATTGAGGCATTGAATTCTGTTGTTTCTTTAATGCTTTTAATTTACGTGATTTTTTTCGTTTAGCAATCCATGATTTATTCTTTTGTTTTTTAATTAACTGGAGGGATTTAGAGAGAGAAAAAAAACAAAAGAAAAGAGAGGATAATACACACAAAAAAAACACGTTGATCAAGATGAAACAGAATACTAATATTGAATAGACAGATACAACGCAGAACTTCGTACGTAAGGACATCAGTTTAGATTGCCATACCGAATTAGCACAGAGACGCAACTGTCAGAGGGATAGCGATGGTAGAAGTATTAGCAGTAATGAAGAAGATGAGGGAGCGAAGATATGATTCGAGAACTATAATTCAGTGAGATAAATTTAGAAGGAGAAAAATAGAGATTATGGGGAATTCAGAAGATTAGAATTTGAGAGAAGACAAAGAATGGATGCACCTGCACCATTGCAAACGGTTATGAGCCATGTCATTCAGAGTCTCTAACCATCGATTACTAACATCTTGAGGGCCCCAAAAAGGTAGTCGACACCTACCGACATGACTCAGTCCACTTGTTAGTGACTTCATGGATTTATGCCATGTTTTGGTTTGGCCGACCCTAGCTTTTTTCCAACTTATTCTTACACTGCAAAATATAGCTCCAGGAGACAGTCGGTAGTTAGCCATACTCAACTAATGAAGTTTCATTAATTCATCTACTGACCTGCCCGTTTCTTAATAACAGCATTGCTTACTCGGTTGTCCCAGGATACAAGAGCAATGCTTCGAAGACATCTATGATCGAAAACCAGTAACCTACGAATATCTTCTACTCTCACTGGCCATGTTTCACAGCCATAAAGTAAGACGGAGCGAACTACTGCGCAGTACACTCGTCATTTAGTCAGTAAACGGATATCTCGCCTACGCCATAAGTGACGCAGGTTGGCAAAAGCTAATCGAGCCTTCTGTATTTCGTGCTGAGATTTCGTCAGTCACTAGGCCATCAGCACTGATGAGACTCCTCAGATAAGTGAAGCGGTCTACACGTTCGACTACTTCACTCCCTATCACTAGTTCCGTTGAGGTCGCATGCCAATCTTACTAATAATGAATACTCTTAAATAAGTGAAGTAAAAATAATCTTCTGTCAATGTATTAATTTAAACCACATAAAATATGACACATTATCCCCTCTCCAAATGCAAAGTGTTGCTTTAGGATTGGGTTGCATCGGCAGCTAAGCAAGTGATAGGGAGTGAAGCAGTTGAGCATGTTGACCGCCTCATGTATCTTGGGAGTCTCATCAGTGCCTATGGCCTGTTGACTGACAAAATCTCAGCACGGATACAAAAGGCTCGAGTGGCTTTTTCCAACTTGCGTCACTGGTAGCATAGGCGAAATATCCGTTTGTTAACCAAAGGACGAGTGTACTGTGCAGTAGTTCGCTCCATCCTACCAAATGGCTGTGAAACATGGCCATTCAGAGTAGAGGATATTCGTAGGTTACTGGTAGTCGATCAAAAGTATCTTCGAAGCATTGCTTGTATATCCTGAGGCGATTGAGTAAGTAATGCTGGTGTCAAGAAAAGGGTACTAGGTAAGGATAGAAGATCAATTAATGAAGTACTGAATCTCCATCAGTTGAGGTGATTAGGACATGTTTTAAGAATGTCTAACCAACGACTGTCTCGTCGAGCTATGTTTTGTGGTGTAGGAGAAGGTTGGAAGAAACCTAGGGGCGGCCAAACCAAAACATTGCATAAATCCATGGGGACATTAACAAGTGAAGTGAGCCATGGTAGTAGGTTTAGACTACCGGCTTGCGGTCCGCGAGACAATCGTAACCGATGGTTAGAGACATTGAATGACATGGCCTAAAATCGTTTGCAATGGTGCAGACGCATTCATTCTTTGTCTTTGCTGATGACCTCATGAGCTTAGAACCATTTTTTAAAATTTATTTCACATGATTATACTTCTTGAATAATTCTTTTCAAACCTCTAATCTTTTAAATTATCACTAGTACTTCCACTACATCAACCATTATGGGATTTGACATTATTTCCATGGTTGAATACATTTGAAATATGAGTTCCACAATGATTAAATAAGTTAAATAGTGAGTGGCTAGTGACTAGCCACTGAGAAAAGACATAGATTACTGACTATATAATTTTTTAGCATAAGGGTTGTGGAGATTGGAGAGTTACACTGAAATCATCAACCAATGAATGTTAGACTACCACTGAAAGCACTGCAAGGTCATTTCATCCTAGTATTGAACTCCTCAGCAGTGCACATCCACTACTCCGCATGCGGAACTCAAACCTAGGAACTTCGGTCTGGCGCGCAAACACTCAATATGTAGGCCGTTGAGTCGGCATTCAACATTGTCAATGTCCAAATTTTATTTGTGATTGTCTTTCTGTTCTGGATCGATTGGGTGCGGACTGCTTGTAATTATCTTGAACTAAGTGGTTCTCTACTTTTGGTTGTAAATTGTGTTCTTGATATAATGTGATCTGGAACTGTTTAGAGTGTATTGGCGTTTCGTTCTCTGAGCTGGGTGTTTTGGTTGTATAGCTTCCATCGTTCTTCTGAACAACAACATCATCAACACAAACTTCAGATGGAAGTGAACTATTCGAATTTCTCCACGTCTGACTCAGAGAACGAAACACCACTACAATCATCCACCTGAGCTACGAATTTTCTCCACCATCTCAAAATCGTATGAGCATGACACGCTTCACGTTGTTTGAAAATAGGAGAATTTCGCCAAAAGACAGGCTTCCACTGTATAGAGTACCGAGTAGTAGTATAATCTAGGCAACAGGTTACATTACAGTAGTTATAACATGACAGACATACAGAGAAATATTTGTATTTGACTGTTAAATCAGAGAATATACGAATCACTACAATAGGGCTATTTTAGTATTTCAGTAATTAGACTCAACATGGGTTGTAAGTGTTGACAGATATACGAAGTTAGTTAACATAAATCCAAAACAGAAAAGTCTACGGCTCAATAAGTTTACAGAGTATATAAATAGGGCTCAAATCCAACTACATATAGCTATTCACAGAAACATGCAGAAATCATCCAACGGCGTCACAAGACACGCACAAATGTAGCAAAAAGAAAAGAGGAAAACCAAAAAACACAATCCATCGGGAATTAGGGGCCGATATCACCAAATGAATAAATAGCACCTTATAACAATCGGAAAGGAGCGCCCAGGAAAGGGTAGGTTGGCGATTGCTGGTCGGTGACCTACGCTACAAGGAAAGTAGCAAGCGTAAGTAAATAAGTAATAAAAACAAACATCACCATATACTACTAACCCATTTAGGCTTTTTTTCTTTAGCTTTGTCCGTAGACGACTGCATTAATTCACGTTGTTTAGCGACACTTTTATCTCTGAAATGAACAATAAAGAAACAAAACGTTTTTTTTCACTCAGTTAGAATAGTGTTATGTTGACATAAAACTATTGTTTAGAAAGAAAACAGACAACCTGTGGATGATACATTTTTAGATAAANT